GCATTTTAGGGAATTGATGTTGAAGAATCAAATATTCCTTGGAAAAATTGACTATCAGTAATAGTTATACTCTATTAAGGAAAAAATCGTTCAGTGAACAAAATAATTCTCTAGATATAATCTATTAGCGAAAAATAATTAATTTCAATTTGGGTAATTATGAAAATTGTCATTTCGGGTTTTTTTGGGTACTGTTTTTGAATTTGGTTTATTTCTCATAGAAATCTACATTTTCGGGGGTTGAGGTCAAAGAAAAAAATATTCCTCAGAAAATTTCACTATGGGTTACTGAATAATATAATTCTCTAGATATAATCTATTAGCGAAAAACTATTAGTTTCAATTTGGGTAATTAAGAAAGTTGTCATTTTTGATTTTTTGGGTACTTTTTTTGAATTGGGTCTATTTCTCATAGAAATCTACATTTTTGGGGATTGTGATGAAAGAAAAAAATATTCCTCAGAAAATTTCACTATGGGTCACTGAACAAAATAATTCTCTAGGTATAACCTATTAGCGAAAAATAATTCATTTCAATTTGGGTAATTAAGAAAGTTGTAATTTCTTGTTTTTTTTTGGGTACTCTTTTCGAATTTGGTATATTTCTCATAGAAATCTACATTTTTGGGGATTGTGATGAAAGAAAAAAATATTCCTCAGAAAATTTCACTATGGGTCACTGAACAAAATAATTCTCTAGATACAATCTATTAGCGAAAAATAATTAATTTCAATTTGGGTAATTAAGAAAGTTGTAATTTCTTATTTTTGGGTACTCTTTTTGAAATCTACATTTTAAGGGGTTGAGTTCAAAGACAAAAATATTCCTCAGAAAATTTCACCATAGGTCCCATACAAAATAATTCTCTAGATATAATCTATTAGCGAAAAATAATTAATTTCAATTTGGGTAATTATGAAAATTGTCATTTCGGGTTTTTTTTGGGTACTTTTTTGAATTTGGCCTATTTCTCATAGAAATCTACACTTTAGGAGGTTGAGGTCAAAGAAAAAAAATATTCCTCAGAAAATTTCACTATGGGTTACTGAACAATATAATTCTCTGGATATAATCTATTAGCGAAAAATAATTAATTTCAATTTGGGTAATTATGAAAATTGTCATTTCGGGTTTTTTTGGGTACTTTTTTTGAATTTGGTCTATTTATCATAGAAATCTACATTTTCAGGGGTTGCGGTCAAAGAAGAAAATATTCCTCAGAAAATTTCACTATGGGTCACCGAATTCTCTATATATAATATATTACTGAAAATAATTAATTTCAATTTGTGTAATTAAAAAAGTTGTCGTTTCTGGGTTTTTTGGGTACTCTTTTCGAATTGCATCAATTTCTCCCAAATCTAAACATTTTCGGCAAATTTTGTCAATGGTGAAAATGTTCCTCGGAAAATTTCACTATAAGTCGCCAAACAAATGAAATCTCTAAATACTATATGTAACGAGCTAATATAAGTAAATATATAGTTATATTAGAAAAAGAACACATTTCTTCCGAGGGAGAATTTGCCACCGCTTTGACACAGAGGTGATTTCTCCGCAAAATTTATATTTTCAGTGGATGCTGTCAATAGAAAAAATCTTGTGAATGGCATTTCATTTGGAGTCTCTAAATATAAGTTGTATGTAGACATAATATGGAACCGGAAAACTACCTTAATAATGTAGGATGGGGTTTTATAGTCAACTTTCTTGTCTTTTCGAGTTGGAGGCATTTTCACCCACTTAATGTCATTTTAGGCGAAAGATGTCAATGAAACAAAGATTCTGCACTAAATTTGACTAAAGGTCGCCGAACAAAAGAAACTTGTAGATATTGGATTTATGCATGAAAAACGCGAAAATATAAAAGGAAACCTGTTTTTAAAATGTCCTTCATTTTATCCCATAATTTTCGTTATTATTATGAATAAACATCTCTATATATATACTGTTTTCCATTACGAATGTCAGATTAAGAAAATACATTTTTGTAAAAAAAAAAGAAATTGGAAACTAAATGTGTTAGATAAACAAGAAATACGAAACCAAAAAAAATAAATAAATCATGTATTTTTCAAATTAAAGCGTAACTAAAGTTCTAAATTACATTTATAAATATTTAAAGAGAAGCATTATAACAACAAAAACAAAAACCACATACCAAACTATTTAACACATACAATTTATAGAGAAATTATAATAATAAGTTACTTTTGCATATACATATAAAGACATTAATAATTACTTAATAAATAATCAAAACAAAAAAATATTTGACCAATCAAAATATATTTATTAAACAAACAATTAAATGTATATTGGTTTAATTATTATTAAAAACTATTTACCAAAAAAAATCATATGTAAAAAACTAAATATATGTACATAAAATCTAGAAAAGTTACTATAAAAACAATGGCAAGCAATTTGTAGCATTTAAGGAAATTTTGTTTAAACATATATATTTAATAATAAAAAAAGGAAATCAAAGAGTATATATATTGCAAAATATATTTTTTAGATTAAATACAAAAAAAAATTAAAAGTTTTTTATGTTAACCAAAAAAAAAAAAAGATTAGAGGAAATTATAACGAACATCTTTTTTGGGAATATGTCAATGGTAATTTGACTAGCAATTTCAAAAGAAAACACTATTAAAAAATTAATTTAAAAATGGAAAATACTTGACAGTACACAATTAATAAATATATATTTATATAAAGCAAAGTATATTAAAGCTAATAAAATATATTGAATTATAGAAAAAAATTGAAAAAATAAATTTTTATTTCAACTTGGGTAAATTATTTTATAAAAGGTATGTATAGAAAATTTTCTTTTGGTATCCATGGAAAATTTTCCTTTTCTAAAATGATAAAATGGGAAATTATAATATAACAACAATTCTTTGAATAATCCCTTTTTAATAAGTTAAAGTATGTAAGAATTTCATTATTACAGGGCATTTTTGATAGTCTTTTCTAATTTCACCAATTTCTTAAAGAAATCTTTATTTACGGAAAAAAATATTCTTCAGAACATTTCACTATAGGTCACCAAACACATGAAATCTGTAGATATAATATTTTAGCGGGAAACAATTGGATACAATTCGGGTATGTAAAAATTTCAACATTACAATGCATTTTTAGTAGTCTTTTCGAAATGGGTCAATTTTTCGTAGAAATCTAAATTTTAGCTAACTGATGTTAAAGAAAAAAATATTCCTGAGAAAATTTTACTATGAGTCACCAACCACATGAAATCTCTAGATATAATCTATCGACGGACATAATTATTTTAAATTTGTGTATTTAAAAATGCGATCATTTAAGGCACTTTTTGGTAGTCTTTTCGATTTGGGTAAATTTTTCTTAGAAAACTAAATTTTAGATAATTGATGTTAAAGAAAATAATAATCCTCAGAAGATTTCACAATAGGTCACCGAACAAAAGAATTTTCTAGATATAATCTCTTAGCGTAAAATAATTTGTTTCAATTTTGATATTTAAAAATGCAATAATTTTAAGGCGCTTTTTGGTAGTCTTTTCGATTTGAGTAAATTTTTCGTAGAAAACTAAACTTTAGGTAATTGATGTTAAAGAAAAAAATGTTCCTCAAAAGATTTCAACATAGGTCTCTGAACAAAAAAGTTCTCTAGATATAATCTCTTAGCGGAAAATAAGAAATTTCAATTTCCGTATCGAAAAAAATTATTATTTCAGGACTTTTTTTGGTAGTCTTTTCGATTTGGTTCGATTTTTCGTAGAAAACTAAATTTTAGGTAAATGATGTTAGAGACAATAATATTCCTAAGAAAATTTTACTATGAGTCACCAAACACATGAAAGCTCTAGGTATAATCTATCGACGGATATAATAATTTTAAATTTAGGTATTTAAAAATGCAATCATTTAAGGCACTTTTTGGTAGTCTTTTCAAATTGGGTCAATTTTTCGTAGAAAACCACACTTTAGGTAATTGATGTTAAAGAAAAAAATATTCCTCAGAAGATTTCACCATAGGTCACCGAACAAAAAAATCTATAAACACAATCAATTAGCGGAAAATAATTCGTTTAAATTTATATATTTAAGAAAATTATCATTTAGGAACTTTAAGAACTTTTCTGGTAGTCTTTTCGAATTGACTCAATTTGTCAGTGAAATCTTCATTTAAGACAATTGCTGTTGGAGAAAAATATATTCCTCAAAAAATTCCCCTATGGGCCACCAAACACAAGAAAACTATAGATATAATCTTTTAGCGGGAAATAATTAGTTACAATTTGGGTATGTAAGATTCTCAATATTTTAGGGTATTTTTTTAATTGTCTTTTCGAATTTGGCAAATTTTTGGTAGAAATCAACATTTAAGAAGATTTCCCTTGTAGAAAAAATTATTCCTCAGAACATTTCACTATGGGTCTCCTAACAAAAGAATTTGCTAAATATAATCTATTACCGGGAAAAATTAGTTACAATTTAGACTTTCAATATTTCAGGGTATTTTTTGGTAGTCTTTTCGAATTGTGCAAATTTCTGGTAGAAATCAACATATAAGAAGATTTCCCTTGTAGAAAAAATTATTCCTCAGAACATTTCACTATAGGTCTCCGAACAAAAGAATACTCTAAATACAATATATTGATGGAAAATGGAAATATCCATAAAAATCCATATTCTAACCTTCTAAACGTCCTATAAAAAATTGATAAAAATGGCCTGTACATGTCTTCTACAAATATCTGAGACAAAATATATATACCGTCGTTCAATATATAATATCATTCAAAATGTTTAGAAAATTTCGTAATAGTAAAGAAATCATTTCACATTATTTTTATATAAAAAGCTACAAAGCATTTATTATGTATGTTTTGAATATTTATATATGTTTATATTTGTTGTTGTCGTTAACAAGAATTGTCGTATTTAACATTTCTTAAACCTAACACATATAAATCTTAGAAATAATAAGGATGAACAAAAAGAAAAAAAAATAAAAGAAAATGAATTATTAAAGCACAGCTAAACAAGTTTAAATATTATTTTGTCAAAGAATTCTATTCTTTTTGTATCGTTTTTTTTACGAAATATAAATAATTTATTTTAAATTTCATAAAATCCATAAATGTCGTTTATAGTTGCTAGTATTTTGTGTGAAGGTGTTGGTGGTAACATTTCTTAAGTGTATTTTGTAAAGTCACGATTTGTATTTTGTTTGTGTAAGGCTTCCGAAGGACGATCATCTATGTCGGCATGGGCAGCGGTGACACCACCTTGGACTTGATTTTCAATTAGCTGGAAAAAGAGAAGAAGAAGAAATTAGAGATAGAAGACATAAATAAAAAATAAAATCCCCACCTTTGCCCTTAGACGTTTAATGCTACGCAATCTTTCCAACCAATTGGAAGCATAGGGATTTTTCTTTTGCAAACTTTGATAGACATTGGAGGCCAACTTAAAAAGAGAAAAACATATTAACATAAATTACTATATTAAATTAATAAAAAAAGAAAACGAACTTACATTCGCATGCAATGCCAATTGCCTGGCCAACAATGGGGCACTTTTATCGGACACAATTTTCGGTACTGGATGATAAACAAATGTGGCAATCTCCGGCCGAACTTTAACATAAATCCGATTGGTATTCAACTCCAGAGGTTCCACAATGACACATGCATAATTGAATTGACCCTGAGGATAAAATATTTTTCGAATTAAGTATATGTATCGGGAATCGGATGTTGAAAATATGGCAACTCACCGAAATTGTATTGAGATTATATTCTTCACCACTTTCGTTGTAAATTATATTCACATAATCATTGCCAATATGTTTCTTTTTCTCGTTGCAATTTGGATCACTTTGCAGTTTGGTGGGCATTAGAGTGGCAACATGGAAAGTTACCTGAAATGAAAATAAAATTAATTGAATAAATAATTAAGGATTTAACTAAAGTAATACAAAACACGGGTGCTCTTGAAAAGGAGAAATTCACGATTTTAGCAGTAATGGTCCTACAGAAGAGTATTCTTAAAAATACACGTTTTTAGCACTGATTGTCCTATCAAAGTATTCTTAAAAATTCAACTCTTTTAGCACTGACGGTCCTAACAAAGAGGGTTCATGAAAAATTCTCTTCTCACCTGCACAATATCATCCTTCCACACATAGGTAAACTTTCCATCGGCCCCACAAGTATCCAAAGTAATAAACAAATTATTTTGTGCAGCCTCCTTGAGGCTAACCAATGTTCCCAAACCTCTCAAAAACTCCACATAACGGGTACTGCCATGAGAATTTCTCAAAATCTCGACGACATTATTACATTGCCCTTGGCCGACATAAAGCACACCAATTTTATGCGTCTCAAAGGGTGGCGCCAAATCCAACAGGCTCACAGCACTCATCTGTTCGGGAGGCACTTTAATTGGTGTATCCGTTACCTGAACATGACCCGTGTGATAGAGTTGCATAAATATGAAACTTGGATTAATGCAAAGCTTGGTATTCAGCTGAGGCTTATTGTTGCCGAAACGCGAGAAAGAACTGGCAGTGGGACGAGTTTTGCCATTATTTACTTCTCGCACAACGGAGATGGTTTTGGAACGACCACGCATTTCTCCATTGTTGTAATCATTCTGGGAGCTGCCACCTCCTGTGGCCGAGGAAGCCATATTGACATTATTACCACCGCTGCTCGACTTTGCCAAGCCCTGGTGAGATCCAAAAGAGGTGGATTTAACCGCTGGAGCATGGCCCTTTTCCATGCGTGGCGAATGTTGTGGGGCTGGTGAGAGTGGCGGTTTATTTACCACCTTTTCATCGGCTCCAGCTCCTGTTGACTTCAGCGAGGTGGAAGAGGCCGATTGTTGCACCGGAATCTGGCCACTTGACCCCTTTTGGCTAACATCATCGGCCGACAACTGTTTGGGAGGCAAAGTTCCAGCATCAGGGGCCTTCAAAGTGCCATCATTATTCGCCGCCACATTTTGCGGTGGGGTTGATCCCGCAATCTCTTCCGGAATAGCTTCACAGCTAACCTTGCTATACTGCACAGTTTTCTTTTTCTGTTGCATTTGTTGTAAGTGTTGTTGTTGATTTGGATCTACGGGCGGATCTGCCGCCACGTTCGATTCCTGGCCCAAGGGGGCCGGCTTATTTGCCAAGAAGGTATTACGCCAGCTGGAACTCATTTCCGGGCTGGAATTTACACGACGCACAGGTTTACGTGCCCTCATTTGTCCTCCATCGATGTTCATGTACTCCTCATCAGCTTCACCATCACTAACACTGCCACAGAGGGCTTCCTTGCCACGCTTTCCAGCCGGTTTCTTGGGTATATCAATGGCAGCCGTACCAGCCGAGGCCACGGCCACAGCTGAAGAAGATATCTCTTCCTGTCGCAACAGAGTTCTAGTTTTACTGGTGGATCTTGTGCGATTTTCTTCTTCTTTTTTAGTTTCCTCCTTCGTAACTTCAACTGGTATGGGCGTTGGGGTTCTCTCCTTCGAGTCAGTAGAAATATTCAAATCTCCCATCTGGGGTTCATTTTGCATAAAATCTGGTCCAAAAACCCCACCCTGAGCAGTGGGCAAAAACAACGAAACCATACTACTGAACGGCACCTCATAACCAAAACATTCATTGGATATGGGATTTTGAATGCGTGTTATCCAGGATATATTTCCCGTGGGTCGACGTATAAATATCTCTGCCCACCCGGTACACGAACGCACACAAATGGGAGAGGCGCAAACACTAGATGATGACAGCGAATTGCCCAGCAGAGAAACGCAACTGCCACCCACGCCCAAATCGGTGCTACCAGCCTCAGGGTTAGAACCACGACGTGATAGGGCTTCCAAAGAAGCTGTAGAGCTGTTAGAAGTTTGCCTCTGTGTTGTGTGTGATGTTGAGGAGGAGGATGAAGTTAAATCGGTACTACCGGCCGATTCATTGCCACTGCTGTGCTGTAGCGACACCTTGGTGTAACGATGTTCATAGCTGGGTGCGGCTTGGTTTTGTTGGTTAATTTCGGGTGAAAGTGGTGTTGTTCCGGAATTCGTATCTGTGCTGTTCTTGGGACTCAGCGTGTAGGCTTTGCCCAATTGCGAGCAACGATCACACAGACCATTACGAGTTGGTGCCGATGGGCAACCTGAGGTGGTGATTGTTACAAGATTATGACCCACTATCCAGGTCTGGGAGTGGCCATCCTTGAGTAGATGTTCAACAGCCGGAAGACTGGAAAGATATTAGAAAATCAGAATAGAACAAATTTATTATAGCTGTATTATACCTACCGCTTTGGCAATGCCGAACATGGAGAAAAAGTGTGGCGAGCCAAAAAGTCAATACATGTCTCTGCTAGTTCGGCATGAAAAGATTTCAAACTGGCCGTCATTAAGGGACGCATTTCGGAATCACCCCTCCCCATGGCAGATGTATTGCGACTACCGCGTTCAGTTAAACTGGTACTACGTTTACGATTTGACGAGTCCTCGTTGAGGCTATTCAAATCTTGACGTTGTAAGTTACGCGACAGCTTGTTGATATCGTCATACAACATGCTGGCATTTGACTGAATCGACTGTAAAGAAAATTGGAATTAAAAAAGGAAGAGCAAAACTTGAGAATGAGAGAATTTCCTACCGATATAATGTAGGTAACACAGTTCTTGCGCAATTCCAGTTTACACTTCAAAAACCAACCGGCAATGACATGATGAGCCAATGAAACAATGTAGTGATCATAACGATGTGGTTTGGTGTAGGCCAAGGAAATGGCAAAGACATACATATACTGGCGGGGTGTGAAATTGGTGAAGAGGTCATTGGGTAGACGGCTTAAAACTGAAAGAGAAATAACGAAAAATTTTACAGAATTTTAAGGAAAAATACTTCAGACGACCACTGGATAGGCAAGCAGAAAATGTAGATAAATGGTCTCATTACTTACTTGACAAAAACTCCAACACCGAAATGGCCACAGCCGGTGTATCGGACATCTTGGACATTTGCAACAGAATATCAGGCAATTTTCGCATTAAGGCCTCTGGCATTTCCAAAATAATCGTTGTCATGGTATTTATACAAATATTTGCAATGCCTGATAAAATGCCAATTTTCAAAACCTCAATAATTTTATATTGATTTGAGGGTTGGATATATTGATGATATATAACCAATGAGGCAATGGCCGGCAATACCAAAGAGTTTAACTCATCAATACTCGACTTGTAGGTGATATGAAGTGTCTTGTTGCTTTCGAAAATTATTTTAAATAGAGCAGCAGCCAGGGACTCGATATCATTGCCCTGGATCAAGGCCTTGTTTTGCATTATTTTTGGCAATTCCTTGATGACCAATTGGAAGATTTGAAAATCTACAAAAAATAATGATAGTTATAAAAATGTTCTGGGTATATTTCAATTCCGTTTTTTTTTACCCCTATCCTTTTCCAAACATTTGACAATCATTTCACAGGCCCTTTTTATAGAAATTGTAGTAAAATGGGGATTCGGCACAATTTGATCATGTCCCGAAAGTTGAGACATCAACTGATGTCTGGGCTGATGATGATGTGCTGAGATATCATGGACGGCTGGCATACTGGAATCTATACCCAAATAATAACTATACTTAATAGCATCATTGTTTGTGGGATCCGGAAAGCCAATGTGGTAGAGGGCATTTGCCCGGGCCTTTAACATCCAGGCGAAAATCTTTAAAAGAAACGAAGGAAATTTAAGTTTCATACTTTTGGATACATTATCTATATCTTACCTTATATCTCACAATATTGATTTGTTCAAAAACCTTGGGATTGTTGTAATGCAACTCCAAGTGGCTAATTAAAATATTAAATATTTTTATGGCATGCGATGAGGGCAGGCGATATAATTTCACCAGAAAAACTTCAATAAGGCCATCCACCGCCGTCACCACATCTTGTATATCCTGTTCGGTTTTTATTTCCACCCCATTCAATTTATATTGTTCATAGGGACGATTTATGATTTTCTCCAGTAGATCTAAGAGTTCGCCACAGCGTTTGGTATCACAGTGACGGGCAAAATTTATCAAAGCATTGGCAACGGCACAACGCAACTGGACATCGGTTTCATTGCAGACCTGTGAGAACAAAGGCAGCACAACCCGCTCCAAAATTTCCTCCTCATAACAGGAACGATTTAAATCCATAATATTGACCAAACTTTGTATGACCTTGATGCGTATCGGTGTATTGGACATTTTATAGAAACGCTGTACGAAGGTGTTCAACAATTGCAGCCATTCGGGGCGCGTGGCTGTTATCTTCGATGAGCGATAGTCGATGAGAAGCAGCACTGAAGATTCGGGACGATTTTCAGCAACTCTTTCAATGAGATCATAAATCCGTTCATAATTTGCTAGAATTTTGGTCTTTTCATCTTGCAGCAGTTTTTCAATCCAGTTGATATTTTCGTGAAAATGACTTTTTAGGTGAATTAAGTCGTTGGTTTTGTTGAAAACTCTTTCTGCAAAAGGGAGTGGAAATTATGTATTATTTTCAAGGAAAAGCTGATAGTATTTAGTTTACCATAATATTCAATATTATCCACAATGGCCGACATTATATCACATATACGATCCCAAATAATTTCGGGTAATTCGGATTTATATTTAGTTATCACAATGTGTATGCCTAAGATGACCTCATAGGTGACACAGACATGACGGCTGTCCAGAGCCTGAAATAAAAAGAAGATAAATTAAAAAGTAAGGAAAGGAAATCAATAAAAGGGGTCTATGGCAACTGTCATATAGAGATGCCCTTACGAAAACGTCTTTATAGGAATCCACAGACTGTTTTTAGAAATCTATAGCTGGCAGTAAAGGCTTTTTAGGGGTATCTATATAAAATCCTTTATAGGACTCTTGAAAGAAGCTTATAATTCCCTTCTCCGGTTATGTAAAAACTGCATTAAAAGGACATATAAATACATATTTACTATTAATCGGCAATGACTCTCTAATAGTAGTTCATTAAGATTTCACTATATACGGCCATAAAAGCTTGTTTATAGGGAGTAGAGTATAGACCCCTGTGTTTAGGATTCTTTGTATAATACTTACTCATATAAAGGCATTTCAACTTACCCTCAAAAAGCTATTCAACACCATTGAGGCATAGAACAATGGTGATACCTGAAATACCATTGGTGCATTAAAGATGTTCATATTCAAATGAAATACTGCGCCTCTCAGCAAATATTCATCCTCGTATGAGGAACGATCGTTCAAGATGTTACACATCATTTTCATGGAATGATAACCCAGTTCTGTGCCCAAAAGATTTTTCATTATCTAAAAGTGAGAAAAAAACAACAAATTAATACATTTAAATATGTAATGGATATTAAATACACAAACAATTTAAATTTAACATAATTTCATAACCAAAAGCTTTGTTTTAACGGAAAAAGGCGGCAAATGAGCTGTTTCATTTGTTTCTCATTTCTTTTCATGGAGCCAAGCTCTCTTTATTGCTTCAACTCTCTTAATGTTTTTGACAATTTGCGTCCCCACTCTCAAGTAGTCAGCCCCATTACCAAAGCATGCAAACCCCAACAATTGTTTATCAACAACTCTCTCTCTTTCTACACATAGTAGAGCTCATTGATTTAACTCTTTCTCCTGATCTATGGTTCTCTTTCATACTTTCTTTGTTGTTTTCATAACAATGGAGCCAACAGCCGTATCTGTTTACCTCAATAGAGATTAAAATTAATAAATGTCAAAAAACATATGTGAACACACTTGAAAAGTACATTTTTGTGACAGTTTAAGATTAGCAAACGACGAAAAACGAAATATTAATTTAAAACAAACAAATAATAATTAGTTGTAACATTTTGATGTGATCACACACCTTGAGTAGATAAAAAGAGTAAAAATAAATTAAAAGTTTTTCTAATGAAAGTGTGGCTTGCCAATCAAAAAATAAACTGTTTTTGAGACGTACAAGTAGTTTTATAAGAAATTGCAAAGGTCGAAACTTTGCAATTTGAAATTAGTTGAGATCAATTCATAGGGGACAGGCGAAAGAATAAATTAAATTTAATGCAAATTAAGGTAAGTTTTATTTGCGTTCATGAATTGATTTTGCAATGTATTGATCGTTCTACGTCTTGCCAGCCAAACCTGAACCTAGAAATTAGAACGCCCTCAAAACAACATTCATAGATGACCGAAGTCTTCCACAAAAACTGTATGCAAAAGAGCTATTACCAGATCAATCGAAGGGTAATCACGACAGTCGCAATAAAATATTTGGTCTGAAAAGTACCGGTCTCATAAAAGGAAAATGCAATTTTTATAATCAAGTAATAGAGCAGAAAACTATTGCAATTATCAGTAATACGATGAGGGGTTAGAGCCCCCTCCTCGTAACTTCAGAAGTATTGAGATCCCCAATAATAGTATCGTACTCAGGGCACCACGATTTGACCTATGTCATGAGATTTTAAAATATTAAACTGCTGCTGCTTTGGCCGGAAGATATGACCAAAATCGGTTGTTACCGCAATAGGTGGCATAGCCAAAATGTGAACCACCATTGAAAATTGTTCATAATTCGTATTTTCATTCAATACCTCCATACCCATATGGCCACATAGCAGCCAATTCAGTTGTAAACTTGGAAGTCTTGAAAATATTGAAAATCACTAAATACTTGTAGATGGAGAATATACCGAAGAATGGACAAAATAGGGGACTAACCGAAATGTACGCTGATTGGAAATTTCAACTTGGAAATTTCAAAGCTCTAGTTAAAATAATTTAAGCTATAACTTGATCTCCTGAGATGTCACTATATAGATTTAAAACATCCTAAAGGTAGTCCTTGGCTATAAGGCCTTCTAAATGCCTCATGAAGAATTTTTGGAGGTCTTCCATCCCCTGGATGCTTTTCTGAGGTTTGCTATCTGTAAAAGATCTTGAAGAACTATTCAATCCATAGAGGACCTTGAGGACATCCTTTATTCTAGGAAGACCTTGGTGAGGTTAAATATCTTTGGAAGACATTAAGGATGTCTTCAAAAAATAGACGTCTTCTACAATTCTCCTGTATATGGAGGTGAAATCGGGAAAAAATATTATACCATTATGGGTGTTAAAGGTCACAATAAATGTAAAAATTCCTGTATGGCCAACCAAATTGATTTCAAATTTCAATGTTATTCCCGTCCAATAAAAGATGCAAATGTGCCCTGAATTTTTCTTAAACATTGGAAGGACAAATTAAAATTGAAAAACTTTTCATATTCATATCACGTCATTAATACCACTTTTCCTTTTCTTTCTCCTCTCCGCCTTCATTTTTTCAGCTATGTCGGAAAAACGAGTCCTCTGCGTTGGCATGTGTGTGCTGGACATAATCCATGTGTGTGCTGAATATCCCCAAGAGGACACGGATAGACGTTGTCAAAATGGCTATTGGCAACGGGGTGGAAATGCCTCAAATAACTCCACAGTGCTGCGAAAATTGGGTGCCCCATGTGAATTTCTGGGAATGATTAGTACATCACCAGCATTTCAATTTCTCTATGAAGATTGTCGCCAGCGTGGTATTCACATAGAACAATGTCCAACCACAGCTATGGATCCGCCGTTTTCAAGTATAATATTGGTCAAGAGTAAAGGCACCCGAACCATAGTTCACTCCAATCCAGGATTTCCAATTCTCACATATGAAGATTTTAAGAAAATCGATTTATCGTGGTATAGTTGGATACATTTCGAGGGCCGTAATGTTGAGGAAACACGGCAAATGATTGAATGGATTCGTAAGCACAACCAAGAGATGAAGAATAATGAAATAAAAATCTCCGTGGAATTGGAAAAGTTGAACCGGGATTTGTTTGAATTAGCCAGCCGAGCTGATGTAGTGTTCGTATCTAAAGATATTGCCGAACATATGGGTTGGAAAACGGCCAAGGAGGCAGTTTATGGTGCCAAAGAAATTATTCATGACATGCGGAAGAAAGAAAAATCAGAAGATAATTTCAAAAGGCCAACGACAGATATTATTTGCCCTTGGGGTTCTGTCAGCTCGGATTGTTTGAGTTCGTCTGGAGAATATGACTCGGTTCCAGCATTCCACGTAAATGAAGTAGTGGATTCCTTGGGTGCAGGAGACACATTTCTGGCAGCATGTATCTATGCTTTACATTTCCTTAAAAAGCCATTGAGCCAGGCTGTGCGCTATGCAAATCAAGCGGCAGCATTTAAAATTCAGCGCAGAGGTTATGATGAAATCGATCAGTTTCAGATTAAAGAAATATAATTATGTTTTGACTTTAAGAAATAGTTTAAGTTTAATATTTTGACATCAGAGAATTTTTTTTAGCAACATTGACAATAAAGAACATTCCAAAACAATAATTAAAATGTGATAATGAACAATAACTATTTAATAAATTGTAACTTAAATATAAAAAATTTAATTTTTTCAAACAATTTATTTAAAATTTCTAAATTAATTAGCTCCTTTTTTACCCTTTTTTGCAAAAATATGGTTATCTTGTTTAAAATTCCTTTGGAAATATTTGCTCCTATTTCGTAAGACGCCAAGAAGCCAGAATTTCGATAAGAAGCTACAACTTTATGCATGATTCATTATTTTTCGTAATACGCATATTATCGTTTATATCTTGGCATATCTTTTAGCTTTCAAAAATCTTTATGGCAAACAATTTGTTATGGTATAACTTTTTTTCTCAGGTGATCAATCATCAATAATTCACCGGCGGCCACACAGATTCTTGTCAAAGAACATGCCAAGGCGATTAATAAAAATTAAGCGATAAGAAAATATTGCAAATTTTTTCGATAAACGTTTGAATATTGTATTATGGTCTAACTACATAAATTATAACTGCGTATCGTTGACAGTTTAGCGAGAAATGTCAAATAATCTCTACGAGTTTCCCCAGATGATAGGATTTGAAGATATGGCTGATATGATTAAACTGTGGTTTACGAACATTGTGCAACGGGAATATTAGAATATTTAGATTGATAAAAAAGAAAACTGAATTTTGTATTAATCTATTAAAAATTGTTATAACTTAAAAAAAAAAATAAAAACTGACAATGTTCTCAAAAAAAAAGATTCCACAAAACTCCTAGTTAATTTTCAAATATTTATATTCAAACAGGAAATGCATTTTGTAAATACTTTTTAAGGTATGGACATTTTTAACAGAGATATTGAAAATTTCCAAAAAAAAAAAAAAATGAAAAATATGTTAAAAAGACACCACTAAATATCCTTCAGTTTAGTCAAATAAAAAATTATAATTTTTATATCCTCCACCATAGATAGTATGGAGCATGGCGTATTAAGTTCGTCATTCCGTTTGTAACTCATGGAAATAATAATTTTAGACCTAAGAAAGTATATATATTCCTGATCAGCGTTAAATTCTCAGAGGGTTTAGCCCTGTCCGTGCGTCTGTCCGTCTTTTGTAGTCATGCTAGAATCAAAACGAATTAAGATGGGAAGCTAAAATTTTGCACAGAACAGTATTTTGTCTGCAGGTAAATCAAGTTCGAAGATGGGATATATCGGTCCACAATATCGCTTAGCCCCCATATAACAATACCCCCCGATATTCGGTATTTTAATGATTGTAGTCAAAATTTTCAATGAAATTAACTGAAAATCCACAAAAGGAGTTCCTTCTGAGTACTTTATCCCCTGGAAGAAAAATGTATATATAGGTCCACCATATAGTGTAGACCACATACAACGGAACCTTCCGATATTTAGACGATTTTAGGGAAATAATTTACCAGAGTTGTTTCAAATTTCGTATTCGAATATCTTAATGGTTACTACAGCCTATGTTTAAAATATTCTAGGTCTTCGTATAGGCCCCATATATTAGTACCTCCCTATATTCGATATTTTGATGATTTTAGGGACATTATTCGCCGAAATTTTTTGGAATTACGTATTTGAAGTTCCAAATAGGTACTACAGCCTGTGGCAGAAAATTGTCTATGCAGGTCCTGGTCTTCGTATAGCCCCGATATAACGGTACCTCCCTATATTCGGTATTTTGATGATTTTAGCTACATTATTCACCGGATTTTTTTTTCAAGTTTCGCATTTGAATATTGTAATGGCTTATGACACGTCTTCGTATATGCTCATATATATTCGGTATTTTTAAGATTTTACGAGAGTTTTTCGTCGTCGAACATACCACTTTTTGAAGATTAAGTTTTTTCTGTCGAAGGCAATTTCGAATGAAAATAAGAATTGCGTTAAATCTTGTGAAAATATTTGAGGTATTCAATTTCGCAAACTTCTACAAAAAATCAGAAACACATTTTTTCCAATTTCAAGACAATTACAAAATGATTTTGTAAACTTGATTTTGTACAAACAAATAATCTCAAAGGAACATTTTTGGATTTTCCGTTTAAAGAATATAATTCCAACACTTTTTTCTATTCGTGCAGAAAAATCTGAAAATTACAAAAAGAAAAAAGTGTCTCCACTTTTGGAAAGTTTCCAAAACTTATTCAAAATTTCAAAATTTTTCAAATTACAATACTTTGACCCGTAGTATAGTAATTTTCATTGAATTTCACAATTTCCACGGACGGACGGAAGGACATCGCTAGATCGACTCCAAATGTCCTGAAACGAATTTGGTCCAAAGAGACCCAGGGTCTACAACATTTATTTCAATGAGTCACATTTTGGCCCTATAAAATGATAAATACCCTCTCTAGCCATATGGCTGAGGGTTATTGGCAAAAATTCATAACATATCCACTAAAAGTGGTAAAAAAAATAATTTTTTCGAAAAATGTTTTTTTTTTTACTTTTACAACTGATATCAATTAATTATAGTAATTTTTGAAAAGTATCCACTTTTGGAGAGTTCTTTAAAATTGTTCAAAAATTCGTTCTTTTTTAAAAAGTCTCCACAAAAGTTCTTTTTTTCAAATTTTAAATGGAAAAAATTCCATAGAAGATATGAAAATATTAAGAAAATAATAAAATATATATTTCAAATACTTTCATAATAATATTATTTATATTGGTAGTAACCAACAAGAATTCGATAACCAAGCATTATTTATTTCATAGCCATTGTTGCACGTTTTCCCAAGATTATTTCAATGGGTGTCATAAAAATCTATTAAATATTTGATTTATTAAGACAAAACTTTGATAGATTATCACTGGGGTCCATCTAGACATTTGGCATTATCGGAAAAAAATACGTCTACTTAGGGAACACGCAACCTTTGGACTCTAGGAAAATGTTTACAGCATTTAATTAAGACCAAACACAAAATTCGTTTCCAAGAATTGCAAATAGAAAAAAATATCGCAATGGAATTCCAACAATGTGGGGCCATTGTTGTCCTTGTTTGGTTTTTTTTTAAGAAATGCAACAAATGTTGTTTTGTTTTTGTTTTTCGCAAAATTTTGATTAATTGAATTAACTATCTTCTTGCTGTCAATTAGTTGGAAACATAACATAGCCATGACTCAGTAACCTTTTAAAACAAAATATTTTTTTTTTCAAGTGTTCCCATTAATTCATCACAATTCGGGTTATAAATAAAACATGTCATTCTTCTTCTTCTGCTTTATCATTTGAAAAAAAAGTTCACAATAATTTGTCGATAATTAAGAAGCCTAATTAAATAAAACACCCAAAAAACATGGAGAATCGTGTTGTTCACTTGATAAGAAAAATCGTGTCCCCAACACGATAAGTAAGCATGGGAACATGGCATGGGAGGTGTAACCCAGCCAGCCAGCCAGCCACTTCCTAAGATATTTGGCCATGCCTTGATTTTTTTGTTTTGACAGATTAGTTTTCTTTCCGCGGAAAGTAAAAAAAAAACGCAAACAGTTTAGGCAGATAACACATTTTTTGCGTCTTGCCTTATTCTTTGGCCCAGACTCTATCTAAGCCAATACAACAATTAAACATTTCGGCAACGGAAGTTATCAGTTTTGGTTCCTGTGAATATAAAACAAACAAAAAACATTAATACTGATATTGAATACAATCGGTAATTTGATTAGATTGGGAGTGGAAATCATTTAAAAGAGTTTGACATCTGGCTGAGAGGGACAGTTCTGGCAAAGCAGTTAACAAAACAACAGCATAAAAAAAACCAATTGGCAAAAATTTTGAAGAAAAGTGAGAATCCAGTTCAAAAAAAAAATTAACAACACAAAATTTAAAAAAGAAAAACTTTAAAAGAAAAATGAAATTTGCAAAGCAACTCGTAATTTTTGTGAGCCTATTGGCCATGGGCCATGGCCTGAGTTTACCTCAACTTCGTGAATCAATTAATGAAATTGTAAGTATTTGAAAAAAATTAAAAAAAAACGAATTCAAAACCCTTTGAGAGACTTAAAAAAACGAAATCATAAATTTAAACTTTTTACAATAAAATAGTAAAAGTGAAAAATTTGGAGACTTGCATAATTTTCTAAAAAATTTGTGAAATATCTAATCCAATACAAATTAAAGTAGTAGTTCACAGACAAAATTAATACTCTACAGCTTTTGGAGACTTCTAAAAAATCATATTTGTACCTCTATTTCAATACAAAGCTTTAAAATTTTGTATTTTGAAATAAAACCAAAAGTCTCCACTTTTGGAGAATTTTAAAATCTTTGAAAAACTTTGTAAAATATGTGTCTCAATGTAACTGTGGCAGTTAATAGAAGTTTTCATGTAAAATCAATCAATTTCTGAACTCCCAGGCTATTGGAGACTTTTTAAATTCTATATTTTTTTAGCTTTATTTAATTGCAAAAATTTAGAGAAGTTTACTGAATACAGATTTATCATTTTTAACAACTCAAAATCATCGAAAATCTCAGTTTTCTAAGCTCTACAATTTTTGGAGACTTTAAAAAGGTCATATTTTTTAATTATTTTTTTTTTGTTATTTGAATTGAAAGCTTGTGGGATATGTGTTCAAAAAAATTATGCAAACATTTCTACAAAGAAAACATAATTTTCTTAATTCTGCAATTGCTGGAGTTTTGTGGATATTTTTTCAGATATTTTATCAGAAACAAGAATTTAAAATATTTTTCATTAAAAATAGTGGATTTCTTAAGTCTTCACTTATTGGAGACTTAAGAAAAATACATATTTCTCAACAAAACTAAATTAAAACCCAAATAACTTATAAATATTTCATAAAAAAAAAACAGAAGAATTTTAGAAATGTTGTGAATTTTTCTCAAGTCTGCATTGCGATTGAATAGAAGTGAGGTTAATTTTGAAAATATTTCCCTCCAAAATATTTGAGAATAGTTTTTTGGATGTTCCCTCGTAAAATTGACCCTTTTTTAAAACATTTAAAAAAAGTCTCCACTTTTAAAGACTTTTGAAAATCATCACAACAGCATTCTATATTAACGTACTTTCACAAAAACTAGTTTCTCTAAAAAATTAACCACATTTAAAAAGTCTACACAGCATTAAAAAGAAGCAAACAACAAAATGTTGATACGATTTCCCTCCAAAATAACTAAGAATAATTTTTAATGAATTTTAATTGAAAAATTAACCCATTTCCAAATAAAATTGACAAAGTCTCCAATTTTGGAGACTTTTTAGAAACTATAGCAAATCATTTCCTGCTTGATGACAATTCATAATATATGATTTTTGTTAATTTTTAGCCACTTTTTAAAAGTCTACACTACCCTAGAGCTAAAGTAATGGGAAATTTTGAATTATTTGTAGCTCAAAGATGTTAAGAGAATTTTTTTACAATAGCCAATGGCAAAATTGAGCAATTTTGAAAAGTCTCCACTTTTGGAGACTTTAAAAAAATTATGTCCCAAGCATTCTAAACTTATGTTTGTACTTACAGAATAATTTTTATTAATTTTTGACTTTATTTAAAAAGTCTACACATAGCTAAACGGAAGATAGTGTAAATTTTGAATGAGTATTTTTTTTCTAAATTACTTGGAAACATTTTTAAAAATATCTAATATCAAAAATATTCAATATGTAGTCATTTTCAAAACTCTCCACTTTTGGAGACTTTTTGAAAATGCCGAAAAAACAATGTCATCTTCATGGAATCTCTCCTAAAATGAAATATGACCGTTTTGAGTTTGTTTTTATGAGTCTCTAATGTTTATTAATTTCATTGTTTTTTTTTCTCCCTCTCTTTCTAGGCCCAAAATGTATTGACTTTGTGCAAAAACCGCCAAAATGATACCCGCTTTGCTGACTACAATGATTGCCATAAATTCTATGTCTGTGCCAATGGCATGGCCCATGAATACAATTGTGACGATGGTTATCATTTCGATCAATTCTCGCTTACGTGCATGGAGGGTGGCGATTGTCAAAACAAGGAAGTTCCCAGCGAATGTTCGGATGGCAGTGTACGCGCAGTCGAGGGCGATTGTTACATTTATCAGTCGTGTGTTAATGGCCAATATCAAAACATCAAGTGTCACATTGGTTATTACTTTGATGCCTCCAAGTTGGCTTGCAAACCCATTCTCTACAATGCCAATTACAAGTGCAATTGTGTGGTGCCCGATCACACGGTAATGTCGAACTATGACAACTGTGAAACCTATTATCTGTGTGAAGATGGTGAGGCCATCCTCACCAATTGTCCCTTGGGTGAATACTATAATGCCACATATAATTCGTGTTTGCCCGATTTGGATGCCATTTGCCTGATGGAACCCACCAAATCACCTTTGCTAAAAATCAAGTCCCATGTTGAGAAATTGGCCAAGAATGCCATGGAAACGATGTGTCAAAATGTTGGAAATGATCAGATCACGTTCTATGCCTCTGACAGCGACTGTAACCAATTCTTTGTCTGTGCCAATGGCCAGTTGCACATCCAGAAATGCCCGCAAAATTTCTATTTCGATGACAACAAGAAATTCTGTGTTTTTGATTCGAATCAGAAATGCCAGCAGAATGGACTGAGTGCCGTTGAAACGCCAGCAGCTGCTCCCATGCCCAAAATCGTTGTCTCGCCCCAGGAAATCGCCTCCGGTCACATGAAATATTAAAACGTGTTTATATCTTGAACGATAAACAATGAATAATATGATTCTCGCCTCTCAATGTACCTGGAATTTTTCTTTAATTAGGACGGACGAACGGACGGACAGACGTTCGGATGGTCATTGTCTAATTCTAGTATATATGTATAGCCCATAACACCTCCTCAATTATTATAAACTAGTTTTAAGATCCCAATACTATATATATGTACGATTGTATTTAACCAATAAAAAATTAAAGTATTATTTATTTGCAAAATTTGAATGGAATGTGTAATCTAATCTCAAGACATGTTTTTTTGAGTGTGTTTTTGAAAAGTTCAGGCAGGGACTGACATTGTTACCAACTTCAAACAAAACAGTTGTATTTCATTGGGGCGTGATAAGCTATCATTGAAACTACAAGTCAAAATATTTTTCTTTCATAAAAAGTGTTGACTGTAATTAATGACATGTTGTAGAGATTACTCGAAATGGAGGCCAATAATCTTTTGACAGCCAGAGAGGGGTATTAGAATAATTTATTTTATATTTTGTTCCAATTTCTTTTTGAATTAAAAGGGGGGATTTTTTCCAATTGCTCTATGGGCCCAGACATTGTGGAGTCGATTGGGATAGGGTTATTTCGACAGTGTAATTTTTTGACATTTTCGAGACTTTAAAATTTAGTTTTAGAATATTTTTTATAGAAGAGAGAATCATATTATTTATATTTTAAGAAAATTTTGAAAGTCTCCACTTTTGGAGACTTTTCAAAAATCATTAAAAACGGCTTTTACATTAATATGCTTGCAAAATGTGTAAAATTAAAATTTAAAAAAAATAAAATTTTGAGTTTATGAATATGATTTCAAAAATTTTCACCTTCTTTTAAAACAAGAATACTTGGTAACACCGAAATATTTTTAATCCTTTTTGGTTAAAATTAACTTTTTGTTAAATTTTTATTGCAACACAAAGTCTCCTTTTTTCTGATTTCTACTGAAAATTGTGAGGTTTTTAAAATTTTAAAGCGTCTCCACAATTTTTTCTTAACTGTCGCTAAATGATTATTCCTAAATTATTCATTTGAGAGCAATTTTATAAATGTGGAGACCCAAAAAAACAAATTTTGGCATGTCACATGGCATTATAAAAATTTCCATAATATAAAATTTAATATTTTAGAAAATTTTTAAAAGTCTCCACTTTTGGAGACTTTTTGAAAAACAGTGCGGACGTCCTGTATTTCAATTATCTTCAACGTAAAATTCAATTGGGGTACTTTTCAACGATTTTTAAAAGTCTCCAACCATATAAATTAGCTATAAAAGAGGACATTTGAATTATTAAATTTCAATACTATTTTAACAAATTGCTTACATAAGAATGATAGTGAAAAATCCAGAATTAAAAACAAATTTTAATTTAAAAAAAAATATTTTTTTCTAAATTTTCAAAAAATTGTTAGCACTTTTTTTTAACTTTTTTGCCAAGTAATATTGATATTTTAAGTTTGTGGAGACCTAACAAATTCGATTTTGGCATAATAACAGTTTCCGTAATACAAAATTTTATATTTTAGCAAATTTTTTAAAGTCTGTGTGCAGGCATCTAGTATTTCAATTTTCTCAATGTAAAATTTAATTGGGGCACTTTTAAACGAATTTCAAAAGTCTCCAACCATAAAAACCATCTATAGAAAAGGATATTTGAATTGTTAAATTTCAATATTATTTTAACAAATTGATTGCATAAGAATGCTAGTGAAAAATACAGACTTAAAAACAAATTTTAATTAAAAAAAAATATTTTTTTTTAAATTTTCAAAAAAATTTTAGCACTTTTTTTAACTTTTTTGCCAAGTAATTTTGATATTTTAAGTTTGTGGAAACCTAACAAAATCGATTTTGGCATTATAACAATTTCCATAATATAAAAATTAATATTTTTACAAATTTTTAAAAGTCTCCACTTTTGGAGACTTTATGAAGAACAGTGCGGACGTCGTGTATTTCAATTATCTTCAATGTAAAATTCAATTGGGGTACTTTTAAATGAATTTCAAAAGTCTCCAACCAAAAAACTAGCTATAGAAGGGGATATTTGAATTATTTCATTTCAATATTATTTTAACAAGTTGATTACATAAAAATGCTACTAAAAAATATTGATTTTAAAAATGTTTTTAATTTAAAAAAAAAAAATAATTTTTTTTTACATTTTCTAAATATTTTTAGCATTTTCTTTTTTTGGTTTTTTTTTAACTTTTTTGCCAAGTAATCTTGAAGTTTGGAGACTTCAATACGAAATTTTAATGATGTTTGACTATTGCAACTTTTATATATTTCGGCTTTTTTATGGTATTTTCAAAACCTCCACTGATATGAGATAGATAAAAATAAATAAAATTTCATAAATATTATCTAAATTAATTATTAAGTTATAAATGTTAATGAAAATCTTTGACTTTAAGACAATCTTAAAAATTTTTAATTATTGGAGATGTTTTGAAAACCATTTTCTAAGTCAGGAATCTATTAAAGAATTGAGAATATTTACTTCAGTATTAATTTTAAAAATAAGAGTGTATGACTTTGAGCTCAATTTGAAAGTCTCCACTTTTGGATGCTTTTTGAAAACAAGTGCTAAATGTCCAACACTCGTGAGCTGAACATATCGCAATATTCCATTCGGCAAATACTGAAAAATGAGCTCGCCATTGAAATTCCAAATAGTGAAAGAATTTTGCACCGCAACAGAAAGAAAATTGGCTCAAAAGAGCTAAAGAGTTGCTTCGCTTGGCCGAAAGCGGTAAACTGCCGAATTTCGTTTTCTCCGATCTCCGATGAGAAAACATTTGTTGTCCAGCAGTTTGTAAACAAACAACATGATCGTGTTTAGTTTTGTCAGCTGAAAATGTGCACATTAGATTGCCACCCAAAACTCATGCGCCGGCCATGGTGATGGTGTGGGCCGCCATAGCAGCCGATGGTCGCTCTCCGCTCGTATTAATCGACCGTTGCATTAGAATAAATGCCGAATATTATCGCGAAAATATTCTGGAGGGTGTATTAGAGCCTTGGGCACGCAAACATATTGACCGCAGACCTTGGTCATTCCAACAGGACTCTGGAGTATTTTGGAATGCAAGGTTGGCACTAAAAAATATCAAAGTGTCGATCACGTTAAGCAAGCGCTTCGCCGGGAATGGGCCAAAATACCGCAAATTAGCATTCGGGCAGCGTGTGACGGTTTCATTGGCCGTTTGAGAGCCATAATTGGTACCAAAGGTGACCAATTCGAACAAATCTAAACTTATTCTAAAATTTGATGCTATTTCCGACACTTTGTTCTTTCATTCAATAAAGTTAAAAAAAAAATGAAAAACTACGGCTTTTGAATTTGTTGCAGTTTTTTATGTCACCCTGTATGGCCGTCTGTTGCTAGAAGACTCCCTAAATATTTTTTGCGAAGCCAGAACATTTTGCAAATCATCTGTGTATAACTTTTTTAATATCTTCTCTTAGTGGAGAGTATTTGAAAACCATTTGGACCTTCTATAGCTTTCGGTAGTCTGGAGATTTCGATCTTCGTGTGTTGCAAACTAAATTCTACTTCACCTAAAACTCTGATTCTATTGTGAAGGAAATAGATGTCTCTAGTTGTACTGGCATTTGGCTTATCTTTTGGCTATCTGTTGGATATATTACCAATCATACTGGCCAACAATTTTTTACTTCACTTACCTTCCAAGAGGCACGACAATAGGGTCCAATATTCACTGTGCGACACAAAGTGAACACAAACTGAGGCAATGGATCGCTGGGGAAAATCGTATAACCCATTACCATTTCAAGGATATTAAGGCATTGCAGGCCAATGTCTTCATCCGAAACGGAACAACTTAAATTGCAGGCATTTCTAGAAGAGAAAATGATACCAAATAAAGTTTCCTCAAAGAAACACACACAACACAACTTACTGCACAATGCCAATGATAATGTCATTATCCAAATGGGCAGCATTGAATTTTATCAGATTACCCAACATATCCAAATAGGGACGTAAAAGATTCGCCTGATGTATGGCCGGTAGCCAGAGTAACATGAAATGGCCGATCTGCAAAACGACCGTAAACAAAACATTAAAAACGAAACTTTATAAGTAATTGATGTCCTTTCCGGCCCAACCTTATCTTCCAAGTTCTTAATATCCTTGCCATTTTCCGTCAGCGTATCCAACAGCTCCAGACGATGTTTTAAATCTTCGGGAACCTCATGATTTTGTATTACCAAAAAGAATTGCTCCCGCATATAGGTTAAATTCTTGTACTGCGTATAAATAAGTCTTTTGTAGAATGTTAGGGCCGTCTGGCGACACTCAGCCGATTTGGTGGGCACTAACAAATCTTTGGTTGTATCCCATAGTTTTACTATGGCCGTTTCATCCAGATTTTGGGAGGGTAAATGGATATCACTTAAATCCTTAAGAAATTTACATCGCTGGGCAACTGGTTGTTCCGGACGCAGTTCCCGTTCGGTTTCCGGTCGCAAAGATCGCTCACTGCCAGAACCTAGAAATGCGTAAAAAATGTGAAAAAAATCCTAAAAACTGTAGTCCAATGTTAGCTTACCTGCCGGATTCTTGGCATTCTTCAAGAATGTTTTTAATTTTGATCTGGTCAGCTCTTTGTCCTTTGAACTCATATCGATTGGTGTCTTAGAAATTCACAAAATCAAATAAATTTAAATCGCTTCTTAAGTCCTTCCTGTCAAATTTAAACTGTTGTTGTCTGGGAGATTAGTCTATTCTCTCATTTCCAAAGGATCAGCCGTACAAATATCTTTTTTTTTTTCAAAGGAAACCGAGGAGATTCCAAGAAGATTTCCGTACTCTTGTGTTATTTTACTCTGTGAAACCAAATTAAAAGACGTCCCAAAGAATAGGAAAGATAAAACATAATGTCAAATAAATAATAAACAGAAAACAAAATCCCCGAGAAATCTCTTGTTTACGAATGAGTGTAATGCACAATTTCCGAGAACCCGTTGTTTACGAATAAGACATGACGATAACGCAATAAGCTGGAAAATGATTTTAATTTAATGAGCCGCGAAGCGAGTATCCTAGTTCCAGCGGCGGCTTATCACGCCGGCCGGAGGCTATAGGCAAGGTTTTCTTTAATTAGATAAATTGTGTGTTTTGACAAAAATTAAAAAATTACTTCCTATCAAGAGTGATGTGAAAACAAAACAAATAACAATGGTCATTCAATCAGAAAAACTGCAGATTACAAAGTTCATATTAAGGAACAGCACCGCCGTAAAGAAAAACAAAACAGAGACAAACGGTGAGGTTTTTATAGGTCGAAAACGGACTTTTCTGATGTAGGGTTTTAGAAACACATTTTCGCCCAGAAAACAGCTGATTTCCACAAACTGCACATGTTCAACGGAGTACTCACTGAGAAGTGATAGTTTGTTTACATCACAAAGAAACCTAAATAGAGGGGGCAAGTTCCCCCTATTCTTCAGTTTTGTACATTTTCTGATTAAGATTCCATGGAATTCGTTTATTTTAGGAATATAAGCATGGTGGAAGAATGTAAGTAGACGCATCGACAAAGCTGCTGGAACAATGAACTGTCAAGCCAATTTTGGAATTGGAAATGTTTGATTTAAAACCTTTTTTAAATTTGTAATTTAAAACCTTTTTTAAATTTGTAAAAATTGTTGAAAAACGCAAATTTTAATAACCTCCGACTTTGGTCGTATAAGAAAACATATAAAAATAAACTTATTTTTGACAAAACATTTTAAAGTTTTTTACAAATTAATGTTTCCAAGCGTTGATGCATCTACCTGTATTCTTCTACCATGGTATATAGGCATTCAACTATATTACAGATAATAATGGGAGGACTATTTTGTAAGAAAGGGGTATTTTTTAACCATTTTCAAAATATGGTTAAAAATTCCTTTTATACGTGGTCGTAGCTTGCCAAAATACTCAACAAATTTATTTGTCATAAAATTCTATAGGTCCCAGAAGACGTCAACAGTCTTAATTTTAGACTCTAATGCCATGTGAGAGGATTTATTTGAAGTAAAAGTAATGGATATGACAATTTAAATCCAAATCCAGTGGGTTAACCCTCATATATATAAACGTTCTATAAAACTTACCTAAATGGAAGAAATGTATAAATATTAAAAAAAACGTAAGGTTTAAAGTCGTACTTTGTGTGAGTTATGCAAAAAATCATGGTAAGGCAAAGCTAACAATCATTTTAAATTATTTTTTTTTTAATTTTCTTGGCTACAGACATCAATTTTGTATTCTTTTCAATTATATGAAAAGAAAAATTCATTATCTGCTCCAGAACTGCAAGAATGTAAAAGTTTTTACAACGATAACCGATTTTATCTTTACGATATCGGAAGAGATTACAAAACTAGTCGATTCTTGTAGGTTCTGGAGCAGAGCATCAGTTTCAATCAAAATCCTTAATACAACGAATTTACTTTTTTTTGGCGTAATTAATGTTTAGAGATATATAGAAATTGATTTTGAAAAGTTTTCGGGGTTTTTTCGTTTATATATTGTACGTTCCCGTACATTTTAGTGGTAAATGTAACAGAAGAACGAAGTGTCAAAAATTGTTGTTATATGCGCTCTGTTCCAAATTGCAAGAATGTACAATTTTTTTACAGAACTAGTAAATTCTTGCTGTCTCTGGAACAGAGCAAACAAGAGTGGGGATGTGTTATCATTTTGTTTTGGACGACAAAACAAGTTCAAATGGTTGGCAATGTCACGCATACCACAGGGTGACATTCTGTTCACAAGTAGAAAGAGGTAGGGGAATGAAGCCAAATGAAATACATTATTTCAATACACTATCGTTTCAATCGTTTCACTCTGTCGTATGTTCAGTCGTTTACTGTCTGTTGTGTGAAAATATAGAAAATACATAAAATACCGAGGAAAGAAGAAATAATTTGCAATATCTAGCAATTGAAAATTACTTCACAAAACTAATTAGATCGATTCGCAATAACAACACCATTGGAACAAGAGATTAATTGTATTACGTGTAGTGTATTAAGGTTGATTTTTTTTGTCAGGCAATTACAAAACAATTGCTCAGGCATTTTTGTTTTAATTTATCAAGCTAGGTAAGTTGGCCGAACAAGTTGCAAATTTTTCAGAACAAGAAATAGTTGAACAAATCGTAGAGAAGAAAAAAAGTTGAATTGCCTGCATTATTAATGAGTAAATTTCCTTGTTAAGATATCAGTTCGAGAAACAGCACTGCACTCTGGCTAGCTAACCTCTTCTAGAAGTGGTTGCCCTTGCTTGCTTTTTTGTGTGTGTTTCTTAATTTATTTGCTTAGCGTTGCAGTTTTTTTCTAGTGGTTTTCTTACTCCGCCATTTTGATGCAAACCACAACAAAAACTGCAAATAGTGAAAATATTTTTTGGTGTCATATATAAGTAAAAACAGAAAAATTCTTGTTTATATTGTGTATGGTAAATGATTCATTGAAAAGGAGGAAAACAATTGATTTTTTACCCATGGGATGGGGGAAAATCGCGCATTACTTTCAGCCGTTTTTTTTTGCTTAATTCTTTTCTGTTTAGCGCTGTTTTCTTTTCCTCGTTCATTTCTCCTCATATTTGGTTGGCATTTGTTTACATTGTGCGGCGGCAGCAGGCAGGCTGAGACAAGCCATACTCATTCTCTTTTTGTAGTTCCATTCCATTTGTACAATTATAACTGTCAATATTTGGTGATACGTGTTGCCAACTACATGATTGATTGTTATTAGCATTGAACTAAAACAACTGTGTGTAAATGAAAGAGAGAGAGAGAGTGAGTAAGAAGGTGCGAGAGAGAAGGTAGTGTGGGAAAAGTGACATTGGTTAAATTGGCTGTTGAGAGCAGGAAGGTATATTTATAATTATAATTAGCAATTAACTTCTAAAATTATAAATAAACAAAAGAAATGATTGATGTTAATTTATTGAGCGTGATACAGTGACGTTACAAGAAAATATAGAAATAAAAACAAAATATGAACTCGTTAAAAATGAAATGTTTATCGTTCAACCATGAAATGGCAGAATTAATAATTGACTTCCTTGTGAAATATCATTACAGTGGGCCCTGAAGTCACAATTGTTCAGGTTTAGAATATCAAAAAGCAAATGTCGAATGAAATTTTCATAGGTATTGCTCAATGTTGACAATATTTATTTCGTAAATGAACAATGTATTCTGTAGCACATGGGTTTTCAATGGGAACGGAACCGGTAAACGTAATTTCATAGGGTTTTTGTAGGTTCTCAGATTTTGTGTGGATAGGCATTTCTTCCGGTCTTCTTAAGATCAAAGATTCAGTGAAATTTTTTGGGGGTATGACTTGATAGTATTATGAGTTATTAGTGTATTTTATGTTTGGAAAGTTCCAAGCCTTCCACAAATAATTTTTAGTTTTTCTTCCTTTTAGCCCTTGAAATTCTCTTTCTAATTCATTAAAGAAGAATCCTCTTGGAGTTATATTTTAAATATGAGTTCAACCGAAGAAACCAGCAGCCAACCCACAACACCACAGGATGGCCCCGAAGAATCACAGGTAAACATTGTTGATTGTGACTTTCCGGGAACTGTCTTATTAGTTCATTTTTCCCTATAGTCAAATGCCCGTGAATTGGAAAAAATCGAAGAGGAGAAATTGAAATCAAAATATCCAGTTGGATTGAGAGGCCCTGGTGGCCATACCGCCTTCTTGCAAAAGAGATTACAAAAAGGGGTAAGTCCCGAAGCGTGTAGTTTTGAAAATTTAATAAATTTTTGTCGTTTTTTTAGCAAAAATATTTTGATTCTGGTGATTATCAAATGGCCAAACAAAAGGGTGGTGGCATCAAACAGGTGTTTGCCAATAAAAATACAACCGGTGAAGCCATCCCCACACCAGAGACTGTGCCTGCGCGTAAAACTTCAATTATTCAGCCTTGTAATAAATTCCCAGCGACGAGTTAAGTTAGTATAACACACCTTGCTCTAACCTCTGCAATGAAACAAAAAAACCAGAAAAAAACAACACATACAAATAGCCTCCTATAATTTACTACTATTACTACACACACACCTACTATAATGATATTTAATACTTTAAAAAACAAAATTGTATGCAAATAATGCTAGAAGATATTCCTTTCCAAACACACAAAATTCCCCAAAGCCCCAAAGAGATTTCGATAAATCCTTCTTCGAAAGAAGAGTAGCAGTGGGTCTCTAATTCCAAATTATTTTATCAGTTTGACTAGAAAACTTAAAGCGCTCTATGTCAAATCTAAACCTATACACTGAGCTTTTTATAAAAAAAAAAAGAAAATTAGAAGATTAATCTTTTCATTTTCAATTTAAAAAAATGCCACAATTTATTCATATTTCCCGGAGGATATTTTTTTGGAAAGGAATACTAGTTTTTATTTTTGGTTTTTGTAGATCAAGAGCATTTTCTTATGCTTTGTTGTTTAAATGTTCTTGCGAAGCGGGGGGTAAAAACAAAAGCCTTTATCTTTAGTTTTTAAGTCATTTTAATTAATTTTCTGCTTACTCATTAAAAATTAAAAAAATACTACAATTTTTTTGTTCTGTAAAATAAACTTACAAACAAACCACAAAATCGAAACGAATTGAAAAACTTTACAACAAAAAAAAAATTCAAATAAAAACATAATTAAAAATGCATATTTATGTAAAATTACAAATTGTTAATCGATGACGTTTTACTGTTGACATAAAAAACCATGACAGGGCAAAAAGGTATTTAAGGAGGTTTGAAAAGTTAGGGCGGAAAATGTGATATTTTTTATTATAAATGTATAATTAACTTTATTCCAAATCGGTAAAAATATTTAGAATGAACCGGTTAATGAAGACTTTCTTTAGTGTACATGCAACTGTTTTCTTGGCGATAGTGTGTTCGGAACCCTTTTGATCGAATTTTCACAAATCACACTGTCGCTTTAGTCTATGAGGTATGTCATAGAACTAATTTCGACTCAACGCTTTATTATATCTGGAATTTGACTATTCCCTTTACCGAAAATTGTGATAATCATATTTTCATAAGAGCATTGTGCCCAAGAAATGTTTGTAATTCCGGTTTTAAAAATCGAGTTGATATCTATTCTGTTCTAATGCATGCAAGAATCTACTAGTTTTGCAATTTTCTTCGATATCATAAAGGGAAAATCGGTTATCGTAGTAAAAGCTTTTACATTCTCGCAGTTCTGGAACAGGCCAATAATTTATAAATTGCAAAGGCCATGGCGGAGGCGTCCTTTCTGCCATGGCTTTTGACTTTCCAACAACAACAACCAGGATACGCTCAATTTCGATGATATGTAATCATGACGACTATAACTGACATGAGTTAACGGCCACAAAATTCATAATGTGTACTCCGCTCAAGAACAAGTCGATTATTTCATTGATTGGCAACTCACAAATCGAATAGTCAAATAGTCAATTCTCGACCTATTCATCCCTTATCCCGATAACATTTCATTTATTTTCTTTGTAGTCGGGTGGATTAGTCACCTCCCACAGACAATAAATCTTTTATTTTTTAATAAAATTCTATATAAATACTATTTATTCAACTCTATTCTGTTACATATTATAAATATCTACAATAAAAATGGTAAGTTTAAGTGAACGTTTTAACAATTCATGAACAGGTGCATAAACAATCTTGCTCTGGTTCATGCACTAGCATTTGTTCCACTTCCATATATGGAATGAATACAATCGTTGAGCAACAACAACAATAGCTAGGAAACTAAAAATAAACAAAAGAAAAAATGTGCATTGTTTTCATAACATTAATTTTTCCATCAATTTTCATTGTTTTAGGAACCCGATTACAATGAAGATACTGAATGGAATGATGTGCTACGTGCCAAAGGCATTATACCACAAAAACCCAAAGAAGCCGAGGTAACGGAAGATCAAATCCAGGCCATGATCGATGAAGCCATTCAAAAACGTACCGATTTGGGCGATGGACGTAAAAATATTGAAGATATGAATTTAGACGAACTCGATGAGTTGGAAGATTCCGAAGATGAAGAGGTATTGGAAAGATATCGTCAACAACGTATGGCCGAGATGAGGGCGTTTGCTGAAAAGGCCAAATTCGGTACAGTCAGAGAAATTGCTGGCACCGATTATGTTGATGAGGTGACCAAGGCTGGTGAAGGTATTTGGGTGGTCTTGCATTTGTATGCCAACGGTGTACCATTGTGTGCCCTGATTCATCATCATATGCAGGCATTGGCCCAACGTTTTCCTCAAACAAAATTCCTGCGTTCTGTTGCCACAACATGTATACCAAATTTCCCCGAAAAGAATTGCCCAACAGTTTTCATTTATTTCGAAGGTCAGCTGAGAAAACAATATGTTGGCCCGCTGGAATTGAGAGGTGATAAGTTGACACAAGAGGAATTGGAATTCATGTTGGGTGAAGCCGGTGCCGTACCCACAGAGATTAAGGAAGATCCCAGGCCACGTATTAAGGATAAAATGTTTGCTGATTTGGAGAATCATATTGATTTCTACTAGAAACAATGTACAAGTATTTGTTAGAAAATATTTTTTTTATTTATATGTCCGCCACAAAATGCAGTAGCATAATTTTCATACAGTTTTTTTTGCAATAATATGTGAAAATGAAAAACAGATTATTTGTGTTTTCCTTGTAAATTGGTTTTGTTGGTTGTTGCCTTGAACTTAACGCGAAATATATTCGGATCCAATAAATTGTGAGGATGTTCAGGACCGGGATTGATAACCCTGTTACGCCGGGGTTCATTTTCCTCTAGCAAATGCGGAGCTAAAAGTAAAAATAATTGCTCCGTCCATGAGGGTAGACCACATGAAGCAAAACACAACTCCCAATAGGGTAAACCTAAATGGGCAATTGCCATACGTAAGTATTCACTGAAGCTATCAGCCAAAAACACCCATTTTAAATTGGATAATTCCAAAAGATATACTTTAGGAGTATTGCTGCCCGATGAGTCGTAGAGTAGACAAACCTTTGCCACTTCGTTGACGGTATTCAATTCAAAGATTTTAGTTTTTGGACCAATTATGGGTAAAGGATTACCCCATTGATCGGTGCTTGGTGATGATGTGGTCGTTGTTTGGTTATAATTACTTAAAGATGATATAAAATTAGCTGTTCCCATGTTGGCGGAAATCGGCTGGGTGTTGTCCGGATTGTTTGAAAACACCGGCTCGACATTTTCCCTTAGCAATGTGATTTCCAGCAAATGGCGAAAATGTATGTAACCCACCTTACGTATGTCATTGGCTGGAAGTGAAAAGTATAATAGCTAATTTAAATGGTTAGATTGTGAATTGCTTCCTTACGAGCATATTGATAACTCCATTGCAGTATAAACCCGTCTGTGGAGAGATAGAATTTCTTCATATCCTCTGGTAAATAGACTCCATGCCTTTGTTCCCAGGTTACAAGTTGTGACTTCTCACAGGGTTGACGCTTTTCCACACTGACATTACAGACACGAGGTACATCGGCTGCAAACAATGGATATTTAAAGTACAATAGCAACAAAATAAGTTAATACTTTTTTACCCAAAGTATTATTTAATCCCAATAAGAGGTTTTCAAAGAAGGCATCCTCAGGTGTAAGTTTTTTGTTCATTGCGCTTTTATTTATGGAAAATTGTGGAAACAAATCAACAACGTCTATGGTAACGGTTAAACGACATTTGATGCGCGTTGCCAATCACTTAAAACACGAATTCGACTGAACGCCAAATAATAAACACTCCTTGTTAATAAAGAAAAGACGATAATATTTTATATTTAAAAAGTAATATTTTTCCCAACGCCCATTTAGAAATATTGCAATAACCAATGCAAAGAGAAATTCATAGCTGAAACAATGAACAGAGTAACGGTAGGTAGAAAGTGATGAATGCTCCGCGTAACCAATCACACCAATTGCAATCCCAACTAAAAGCGATCCACGAAAACATATTAAATTGTACATTTTTTGTTGAATCTTTTTAATATTTCTGTATTTTGGAACAAAACTTTGGAAAATAGAATGTAAAATATTTAGCCAAGTGTGTGTTCCAAACTAAATTATGGTAATTTAGGCATTTGAAAGAAATACAGAAACTTTTAACTGAGAAGGGACTGTTGGCAACACATATACGGTTAATCAAACGGCCAGGCCACACTTTAAATTGCAATATGCTTTTAAATTAAACACTGAAAACAATATAACTCCTTATTCGATATGTCTTATATAGGATAATTCATTAGGAAATAATATAGAAAATGTGTTTTCGATGAACAGGTTTTAATTTCTGCAAGGACTTATCAGATATGAAATAATGGTATCATCGAAATGAAACAAGTTTTTTTTTTTAAATTTTCTAAAGAACTTTAAAGGACATTTATTTACATAAAATATAACAATATTGAATAATGCAACTCTGTTTAAAATCATATACAACCACATTTAAATTGAAATAAACAGGAGGAAAATATATGCTAAACTCACAAATCTATTTGTTCCCATTTTTGTGTTTTTTTTTTCAAATTAAAAATCTAATGTTTACTTTTGGCATATAGAATATCATTCTGTGATTCAGCTTCCTCTTCATGTCAAGAAACTTCCCATACAGTAGACTCCATGGAACGTCTTGGCCTTGAGGCAACTTCTACATGAGCATCTAGGCCATCACTTAAACGTGAAAAACGTCTAGCCCAACTGCGACGTGTTGCAAATGGTCCGCCACCACCTTCTGAACCGGGAAATTGTAAACTGGCATTGCTGTGACGACTGCCAGCCTCCCGAAATACACTCATTAGATCTTGGCTATCTCCCTGGGCCCTTTTCATGCCATGCTGATATTTGGCTTCCTTGGCCAGAAGTTGTTCGCGTTGCATTTGGGTCTTAACTTCGGCGGGAATATCGGGTATAATGAATTGCATGACACCGGTGATGACGAAAACTACATGCTGGTGGTTGAAACGAAATATTAATTTAGAATTTTGAATACCAAAACTTGATTCTTACCTCAAACACCACCACAAATGCCAAACGGGCTGCAAAAACATGCCAATAATGAGGACTAAGGCCATAGGGCTCATAATCATTTGGTCCGTTTCTGAAAAAAGACATTTTGTTATTTCTTCAGAATTTTTTCTTTTCAAAATGAAACAACTCTAGTTTAGTAAAAACTGTTCGATTTTTTCGAAAATTTTTTCCAGAGGTAGATATTTTTATCCTAATTCCGCGAAATTATTTTTTTCTTGGAGGACGGACCCGGGAACTCTGATTTTTGATCCGAATTCGGGGTTCTAGCCCCTGGCTAGAGCCGGATCCCCTTACCCGATATAGACAATATAGGTATCGTTTGAAAATATCTATCCAACAAGTGGTTATAAGCGGTTCGGAAGTTATAGCCAAATTATCGAATTTTTGGACCCCGATTTTTTTTATAAAACCCCCAAAAAGTTGACAAAGGGCCTATTATGGGATTCAAAAAGATTCATGCCAAAATATAGCTGAGACTCCTACCTTTCCAAATTGTTACATTTTGTGCTAATAGCTTTTCGGGCCGGTTAGGTACTTTCATAAGCTTTTCAACGATACCTATATTCTTTATATCGGAGAAGTGAATCCGGGCCTAGCCCGAGCCTTAAACCTTTTCGGGTCAAAAATCTTGGGCCCCGGGTCCGTCCCCTAAATAAAAATAGTTTCCTGGAATCAGGATTAAAATACCCACAACTGGAAAAAATTTCAAAAAAAAATTGAAGAGTTTTTACTAAACTAGAGTTAAGCCTTCAAAACTCCCCACTTACCTATAACCCCTATAGTAACATTGATCTGGATCTTTTTCCGTTTTGGCACCCCATTCTTCTTTGTAATCCGACGTATTGAACATCGACAACGAGTGTTCAATATAACCCACCAGGGTATTTGATTCAGAGTATACAAATTTATAAACCATGCGGGGTATAAAATCACTGGTATAGGCAATGACAAAGGCATTCGAGACCACAGCTGTATAGGTTATAATCCTCAAAATGCCATACCATGCACCAATGTCTTCGACACGTTCAGCCAGGGGACGTCTGGCTTGCGTTACCATTTTGTAGGCATCCAATCGAATTTCGGCTACATTGTTTAGCAGAGCAAAGAGTGGAGCTAGGGGAAATGCTGCCACAAATAGAGTGACAAAGCCGTATTGAAGAACTGAAAGAAATATTTAAATTAAAAATATTTTGTTGTTGCAAAATATTATAAAATGTTTGTGGAGCGTTTTTTATTATGGTTAGGTGACGCAAAACAAACGGACCACACTAAAAAATTATTGAAAGTTGCCAACCACAATTTATTTGATAAACGTGTTGCCAAACATAAAAAAATGCATTGTGGCGTAATTTAAAGCTGTATGGCCACACGTCAACTAGATTTGCCTAAATAGCAGAAACATTTGCTAATAACGATATTTTATATAAAAAGTTGCCAATCAACAAAAGTTCCAATGTGTTGCAATGTATTAAAAGATCATTGATTTCATAAAATAAAAACACTTACTCATTTCCAAATATTCATCGAACAATGCCAAACGTCCTGGATCCTGCATATGATAATCCTGCTCCCAGGCCATATGTAAATGACTTTCATCCTTTGTGGCCTGTTTATGTTTGCGCTGGCGCCACCAATTGTAGAATTTCGGAAATAGATATTCCATAAAATTATTCCAACATTGTTTGCCCACCATGATAATGGCCAATTGGATACACAACTCCGAGAGACATCCAGCCGGATCACAGATATCATTTTTCAGGCGAAAGAAATCACTGCGGCGAGCCTGATCATCACCGGGATAGTCAAAGAAACGACCCTTAAAGAAGGCTATATAAATTAGCGATGAATAGAAATTCATAAACTCAAAGAAGAAAATTTTAAATGTATAGGAATCTTCATATTCCGTGTGGGTTCGGGGATTTTCCAGATTCGTCAGACGTATGGCCAAGCGATGGTAGATCTAAAAGGAAACAGTTTTGTTATTGTTATATCTTCTGGGATTTGTAAACATCTTACCCTTGTCAATATCATAATCACCACCAAGTTAATAAGGGCCGCCGTTATGGTGGTAAACAGCTTGGCATGTTCATTGACAAAGAATCCACCACCACCATAGATGACCGTCACCATGGATATACGATAGATGATGGTACCCAAAACGGCTGAGAGAACTATTACAATCTGCGCGGAAAGATTTATTGGCAATTAATTTTATAAAATGTTGATTAAATTTGTTCCCCAACTCACCATGAAAAACACTGCACTGCCGGTTATTACAAAACGTATCGTTCGACTCCATGTTGACATGTAGGGTTCCTTTTCTCTTGTCACCGGATTTATACGAAAATTTGTGGCATTTGTTTCGAATTCGGGCCGATTTTCTTCATCCGATTCAACACTGTTCAAATCCCATTCCCAAACGATAACCGATTGCTTTCGCTTCCATAACTCCAGAAATGTGGTGGCTAAATTTAAAGAATTTAAATTTAAGAAATAACATTTGTTTAGATAAGATTTCAGAATATGGCAATACTAAGCAGTAAATGGCAACTCTCAACTCATTTTAAAATATTGCCAACCAACAACATTTCAGACTAAAATCGCTTATCACATTGGGCGCCATTTGTATGAGCAACAGAAAGTCAATACCTTTTTACTATTTTCTCGCCAGTATAATATACTTACCCCAAAACGACATAAAAATGGCGAAAAACACCGTCGAAGGATTATCGAACAGATACGTGATCCTTGAGAACAAACATGACTGATAAAGCCGCTGATAGCTACAGGCCTTGTCACACAACGGACACAATGTTATATTTCCCGGTCCCCATTCATTGCAAATCTCCTTGCTTGGTGTATTATCTTCCGATTCGAGTGTTGCCAATCCATAAATGAAACATAGGGTTCCCACAATCGATGGATAGACCAACATTTCAGTGTAGAAACCAAGCCAACAAAAATACAAGGCAATTTTATCGCCAAAATATTTGCGCACCAAACAGAGTGGCTGCTTTTTATACCACTGCGAGGGATGGGCCCAAGTTTGATAGAGAATACGCCGATCCAGCGACACACCACTCGAATGGGGACGATCGTAACGTCCTTCGTGCAGTGGAAAACAGGCCAAGTAGGTGTTATCGTTGAGCAGACGACGTATGCCACAACGATCACTGTCATCGAAGGGCGTACGCAGGAGGACCTGCATTACCATGAGGGATCGTTGGGCGCTGGTGAACGATGTGACCCGATCTTTGACAATGAATCTGTGAAGAAAGGGAAACTTATTCGTTAAAAGAATTGTTGGGTTATTTTCTCTGAAAAACTTACTGTTCTTCGGGATTGCCATTAGCTGTGGCAGCCTTGAATGTGGTTTCACCCTCTAACACACTTTTGTCTAATTGAATTCTCTGGGTCAATCTTTGCCAGACATCTTTCCAATAGATTAGGTTGCGGGACACAATGTTCTCTTCATCCTAGGAGAAGGAGAGAGAGAGAAAAAAAGAGCGAGAGAGAAGATTTTTTGAGTGTTATTGCGAATAAATATTTTTTGAAGACTTTTCGGAGGTGTTCTATAGAGAGAAGACATTCCTGAGCTCTGCTGAAGATATAAGACCTTCCAAGGTCCTCCTTAAATAAAGACACCTAAGAGGCCTCTCTTAGAAGAGATAACTTCCACATACTTTCTATTGAAGGGAAAATGTCGACTCTCTTCAACTATGGATAAAATACCTTCTAAAGGTCGTCTACAGCTCTTCCGTGGTGAGAAGACTTTAAGTGAATACCTTTAGAGATCTCCTTTCCTCCGACATTTCTTCAATAGCTAGAACATCATCCAAATGCCTTCTCTCTACAGAAGAGTACCCAATTATTGCTACCAGCTTCTCCCACCCCTGACTCCCCTTACTTACCCACGGCGACTTCACGGAAATCGTAATAAATCTCTTTACCGGCAACTTCAAATTCATAACCTCCGCCAGTCTGGTTTCCAAACGCCAGGGTAAATGAATTTTCAGAAAATATGTGCATTCATTAAACGATTGCGTCTTATCCTCCAATTCCACCTCAAGACCTTCTTTGATTAAATTATCCATGAACGTTTTACGATAGTCACGTTTACGGGATTCCGCTTCGGTCATAACACCCAAATCTTCCTCTTCCCATGCCAGGACCATATCGATTTTACGCCGTCCATCACGAAACATCAACGACTCCGAATCCAGACCCTCACGATCTTGTTTGCTGACACGACGCGATTGCGAATCTTCCATGGAGTTGCGTTTACTCTCCTTGCGGCTATTGTTAAAGAAGCTGCCATTCAAACTGGACTCCATGGATGAGGGTTTGGAGGTTTGCAGAGATTTCTCGTAGGGCACCAATTGTTTGTAGCCAAATTGATCCTCCAGCACCGATGAGTTGGATTTTATCACGGATTTTTCCAAATCGTCCTGCCTTGGACTCTTCTCATTGCCATTGGCAAGGGTCAGCTGGTCCTCCGTTTCAGGTGTGGGCGGAGCCGACAGATGTAAGCCTAGCGAACGATGCATGGCGGTTCCGGGTAAATTTTCTAAATTATCAATTTTAGGTCCAAAAGCTTGGGTGGGACTGGGCTCGGCCGAGTCGTATTCCAAATGTGTGGGCAAGGGTATGGCCATGCTGTGACTTTTGAAATAATTTGGGCGCCATTTTTCATTGTAATGATTGTTGTTTGTGTTGTTGGTGTTATTGTTGTTGCTGCCGGGTAGGCTATTTCGGTGGGTATTAGTTGTGCTGTGGTTGTTTGTATTGTGGTTGTTGTTATTGCTATTTAAATAGGAAATGGGTAATACAGACATTTCCGTTTCCGGTGATTGTTGTTGCTGTTGTTGTTGAGCGTAAATACTAGTCGGTGTGTGTCTATCCAAATTTTGATTTTCGCTATCGTTAATCAGCAAAGAGTAGATATTTTCCGATGAAGATCGTAGCGGATCGTGGGCGCTGTGAGATTGGAAAGGTGTGGGGTCGAAGAGACTTAGATCCTAAGAAAAAAGGGGGGAAAATAAAAGAATTAATGAAAAATACGGAAACGGAAAAATATTTATTAAAAAGTTTCGGCTTTTCTGGAAAAAATTACCCAATTCGTTATCTTATCTTATGCCACCTAAACAGAACTTTCTAACCTTTCTCATTGAGGAACCTTGAAAACTGCCAACCAATGTGAAAAGATGCAACATTTTTTGAACTATGGCTTTACTCATCACTTGCCAGTGAAATGTTAACACAGATGGCGCCCAACGTGATTTTTGTGAACAATGCACGAAAAGCTTCTAATACCAAAAAATTTTGTAATACCAAAAAATTTTTCCAGGACATGCTAAACTTCCTTTCCAGGTTGGCGCCCATCGTGAAATTCAGAAAATTACAGTTTTCCGAAAAGTAACAACATTGAGCTCCGGCGATCATAGAAAGATGTCCTGAATGTCATAGGAGCCGTTTGAAAAATGTTGAAAATGTCCGATACCAAAAATTCCTCTTGCAGGACATGCTAATCTTTTTTACCAGGGAACCTTTTGCAGATGGCGCCCAACGTGAAATTCAGGAAATTGTAGTTTTCAAGAAAGAAATAACCTTGGGCACCAAAAAAATTCTTAATCGGGAAAATGTTTTTTTTTAAATTTTCGCTTTTACTGGAAAATCGTATATTATGCCACCGAAACAGAACTTTGTAACCTTTCTCATTGAGGAACCTTGAAAACTGTGAACCAATGTGAAAATATGCAATTGTTGTGGATTATGGTTTTTCTTATCACTTGCTAGTGAAATGTTGACACAGATGGCGTCCAACGTGATTTTTTACAGATGTGAACAATGCACGAAAAGCTTCTAATGCCAAAAAATTATTTTTCCAGGACATGCTAAACTTCTTTTCCAGATTGGCAACCATCGTGAACTTCAGAAAATTACGGTTTTCAGAAAAGTAACAACTATGAGTTCCGGCGATCATAGAAAGATGTCCTCAATGTCATAGGGGCCGTTTGAAAAATGTTGAAAATGTCCGATACCAAAAATTCCTTTTCCAGGGCATGCTAAACTTTTTTACCAGGGAACCTTTTGCAGATGGCGCCCAACGTGAAATTCAGGAAATTGTAGTTTTCAAGAAAGAAATAACCTTGGGCACCAAGAAAATTTTTAATCGGGAAAATGTTTTCTTAAAAAGTTTTGCTTTTACTGGAAAATCTTATATTATGCCACCGAAACAGAACTTTCTAACCTTTCTCATTGAGGAACCTTGAAAACTGTCGATCAATGTGAAAAGATGCAACATTCTTTTGAACTATGGCTTTACTTATCACTTGCCAGTGAAATGTTGACACAGATGGCGCCCAACGTGATTTTTGTGAAGAATGCACGAAAAGCTTCTAATACCAAAAAATTATTTTTCCAGGACATGGACAGGATTGTACTTCTTTTCCAGGCTGGCACCCATCGTGAAATTCAGAAAATTACAGTTTTCCGAAAAGTATCATCCTATAATCCTATCATCATCCTTAATGCTATAGGGGCCGTTTGAAGTATGTTAAAATTGTCCGATACCAAAAAGTCCCTTTTCCAGGACATGCTAAACTTTTTTACCAGGGAACCTTTGCAGATGGCGCCCAACGTGAAATTCAGCAAATTGTAGTTTTCCGAACAGTAAAATCATTGAGCTCAGGCGATCATAGAAAGATGTCCTCAATGACATAGGGGCCGTTTGAAAAATGTTGAAAATGTCCGATACCAAAAATTCCTTTTCCAGGGCATGCTAAACTTCTCTTCTTTACCAGGGAACCTTTGTAGATGGCGCCCAACGTGAAATTTAGCAAATTTCAGTTTTTAGAAAAGGAACAACTTTGGGCACCGGTGATCATAGAAACATGTCCTTAATGTTATTAGGACCGTTTGTAAAAATGTTTGCAACAACAAGTTAGCAGAACTCATTTCTCGACATAATTATCAGGTGAATCATAACAAATGGCGCCCAACGTACCAAGCATTTAAATGAAAAGTTGTACTTGGAAATTTAACGGAATTTAATTAACCACAACCAGTTCTAACGTCAGTCATCCATCAAGGATCAAGAAAGGAATAGACCAAGTAGATGGAACTACCTAATTTCTGTCTAGGGTATCAGCAGCGCATGGTTTATTATACCCTCAGCCATATGGCTAGGGTGGATATATATTTGATACGGCCAAAACGTGTCTCAACGAAATAACGGTTTTAGACCCTAGGTCTCCAAATTCGTTTCAGGACATTTGGAGTCGATCTAGCGATGTCTGTCAGTCCGCCTGTCTTTCTGTCTGTCTGTCTGGCTTGTGCGCACGATAACTCTCAAAGGGAGTATACGATTTCGTCCAAACTTGGTACATCGTAATATTATTATCAAACTTAGATAGAGTTCGGATATGGGCAATATTGGATCACTCTTTTTTGTACCTCCCCACAAAAGATCGAAAATTTAAAAAAAATATTTTACAGCACAGAAAGGGAAAGGATAATCCTATTTAGCTCCAACGTTGCAAATCCTAATATTTGCATCAGTGCTAAGTCAGGTGCGAACATGGACAATGTCGAGTACCTCCCTCACAAGGGGTCAATATTTTTGATAATTATAACTCTTATAAAATGTGAAGTAAAAGATTACGCACATCACAATATTTTTGTTAACCCAAGGTCTGGTGTAAAGATGGGATGTATTGGTCCACTGCTTCTGGTACCTCCCCCACAAAGGGTCAAAATTTTGAATATCCATGAAGCTAATATAACTCGAAATTAATATCCGATTCCATCCGATTGGTACATCTCAATATTTATATCAACACAAGATTTGTTATAAAGATGGTAGATATCGGACCAAATCTTCAGGTGCCTCCCCCACAAAGGGTCAAAGTTTTGAATAACCAAAACGATTATAAAATCCGAAATAAGCATCTAGTTGTCTTCATATTTCACACATCCCATTATTTCTACTAACACAAAATCTGCCGTGAAGTTAGGATATATCCTTCTGGTACCTCCTGCACAAAGGGTCAAAATTTTGAAGATTCATGAGGGTCATAAAACACGAAATTAACATCCGATTTCATTCAGGATTGGTACATCTCGATATTTCCATCAACACAAGATCTGTTATAAAGATGGTAGAGATCGGACCATTTCTTCTGGTACACCTCCACAAAGGGTTAAAGTTTTGATTGACCAAAACAATTATAAAATCCGAAATAAACATCCGGTTCTCTTCGTATTTCACACATCACAGTATTTTTATAAAGATGGGATATATCGATCCACTCATTCTGGTACCTCTCCCACAAAGGGTCAACAATATCCATGAAGCCAATATAACTCGAAATTAACATCCCTTTCCATTCAGACTTAGTACATCTCAATATTTCCATCAAGACAAAATCTGTTATAAAGATGGTTGAGATCGGACCATTCCTTCTGGTACCTCCCACACATAGGGTTCAAGATTTTGAAAAAAAAACAAAACGCTCAAAGAAAGCGATATAAACATCCAAGAAGTCGTCGATATAGTTCAAACCTGGCACCTCGTAATATTTATTCAGGTCCGATACGAAATGGACAATATTCGGCCATTCCTTGGGGACCTACTCCATAGGGGGTCAACAATTTGAATATAAATCATAACAGAAGTCAAAATATATTTAAATAACCGAACATTGAATGAGGGCATACATTTGTCGGCAAACCCGACTGATACTTTCGAACTTGTTATTACTAATGCCGACCATCTGGAATAAGCTACAGCATCGTTTACAGAGGTTACCAAATAAATATACCCAAAATGTATTATAAAATACCTGCACTGCGCAAGGATGTTTGCATATGGCGCCCAACGGCATTATTTGTTACTAATGACGTCCAAATGGAAAATCAAACATTTACGGAGGCCACCAGAAATAAAAAATCTGAATTTTTAAAAAATGTTAAAATCGATTGAATGCTTGGCCAAATCATTGGAAAAATTAATTTAAAATGGATTTCCAAATGCCTTTATTCCCCAAAATCTTCTCCGCCAGGGACTATTGCAAATGGCGCCCAACGTAAAAGGTAAAAAGTATTCACTCATCTGAGAGAGGTACTTGCTGTAAGCGTTGTTATAAAATAAAGTCAAGTCTTTATCTGTGATTTGAGCTTATTTGGAAACCTAAATCATATGCTGTAGCAGATGGCGCCCAACATGCGCAAATTAAAACCAATTTCTAAAAAATTTTCAAACAATGATTTTTGTTGCGATTCTTCTTCTTCTCTTAATTATAGCTAGCCAAAAATAAATTTATTTAAAATTTTTAATTTTATTTCCCACTTACCGCTCCCGCAAATAGACGTCCTGCAACAATGCCACTATCCTGACTCAAACGACGTGCGTATAAACTCTTATTTGAACTGTTGCCGCGAGCTGCCATGCGTTCACTTTTGGCTGGACTTGAGACAATTTGTCGTTTACCCAACGTGGAGCGTAGGGGGGCATTTCGCAAAGCCGGCACCGAAAGGAAACCTATAAAAATAGCAAAAAAAAAAAATGAAAGCAAGCAAAAACAACAAAGTTGTATTGTTGAGATTCTTAATTATTTATTAGCTCTTTTTGAATTTGCATTAAATAAGTAGAACCAGCCAAGCAGTCGGTGTGACTGGCTGAGCGACTGACAAAAAAAAAAAAAACGGGTCGATTGATTTGACTTACGTGGAAATTGTTGCGTGGCAGAGGTGAATAGACGACTGTGACGTGAACTGCCTCGTCCGCCCTCTCCGTCTTCGGCCAACTCTTCGTCTTCATCCGGATCTCGTACAATGAGGTCTTCATGTGAATTCGATTCGGTAATGGGTGCCGTACTGGTATCCTCTTCCAGGCTATCTATGCGAATTGCATAGGGCGGGTTATGTTGCTGTTGTTGCTGCTGGCGTTGCGTGTTGGTCGACGATGACGATGTACGGCTGCTGGTGCTAGTGCCATTACGTTTAAGTGCATTATTTTGTTCATTCATGTTCAATTTTCAATGCCATCGATTTTGAGTTTTAATGTCCTGGCATTTCCGGGTTGGGAAAATGTGTCTTTAAATAGTTTTTTTTCTCGTTGCTGTATTGAAATTGAAATTTTATGCTTGTTTTTAGGTTTACACGAATTTTTACTTAATTGCTCTTTACTCGTTTGCAATGGTGTGGGAAAGTGCTTTTTTTGTGCTTCCAATTTAATTTTATGGATCCCCAACAGCTGTTCCCAGTTACATATTTAATATTTCATAAAGGAGGAGGAGGTTACTCTTTTATTTGTTGAATATTTTATTTGCGTTCAGGTATAAAGCGGTCATTTTGCTGTGGTAAATTAAGAATAAGTTAAAATCACTCAAATTCAATTTTCAAATCAAATAAATTTCCATTTGAATGGAGAAAAGATTGATTTTATCAGATCTCCACGGAATCCAACGAATTTTTTTGATTTGAGAATGGATTTCCATAATTAAGTAAGCAGACACCAAAAAATGGCGCCCAACTAAAGAAATTGCTTATATCCAACATCTGAAGATCTACTGCCAATGGGTTTATATTTTGAAAGTGCTCCCGTTTGGAAAATCATTAGATTTTTCCACAAAGAATTTGGACTGTTCCAAAAATGGCGCCCAACATAGAATTCAACAAAAATGGCGCCAGTATCCGACACCTGAAGATATCCTGCCAATGGGTTTATATTCTGAAAGTGCTCCCCTTAAGAGAATCATTGGATTTTTCCACAAAGAATTTGACTTTTCCAAAAATGGCGCCCAACATACCATTCAACAAAAATGGCGCCCAACTAAAGAAATTGCCAATATCCGACATTTGAAGATATAAGGTCAATGGGTTTATATTCTGAAAGTGCTCCCGTTTGGAGAATCATTGAATTTTTCCACAAAGAATTTGGACTGTTCCAAAAATGGCACCCGACATAGAATTCAATACAAATGGCGCCCAACTAAAGAAATTGTCAATATCCGACACCTGAAGATATCCTGCCAATGGGTTTATATTCTGAATGTGCTCCCGTTTGGAGAATCATTGGAGTTTTCCAAAAAGAAATTTGACTTTTCCAAAAATGGCGCCCAACATAGCATTCAACAAAAATGGCGCCCAACTAAAGAAATTGCCAATATCCGACATCTGAAGATATAAGGTCAGTGGGCTTATATTCTGAAAGTGATCCCGTTTAGAGAATCATTGGACTTTTCCACAAAAAATTTGGAAATTGTCAACATCCGACACCTGAAGATATCCTGCCAATGGGTTTATATTCTGAATGTGCTCCCGTTTGGAGAATCATTGGACTTTTCCAAAAAGAAATTTGACTTTTCCAAAAATGACGCCCAACATAGCATTCAACAAAAATGGCGCCCAACTAAAGAAATTGCCAATATCCGACATCTGAAGATATAAGGTCAGTGGGTTTATATTCTGAAAGTGATCCCGTTTAGAGAATCATTGGACTTTTCCACAAAGAATTTGGAAATTGTCAACATCCGACACCTGAAGATATCCTGCCAATGGGTTTATGTTCTGGATGTATTCCCGTTTGGAGAATTATTCGATTTTTCCTCAAAGAATTTGACATCAAAAATGGCGCCCAACTTTACCAGTGTATAGGTGGTATAAGACAATAAGTTGAGAGAATCATTGGATTTTTCCACAAAGAGTCTGGCAACAAAAATGGCGCTCAACATTACCAACATAGAGGGTGAGATGAAAAAATTGGAACCAACTTCAGACTGCTGTCAGTGACAGCTCATTATATTATTTACAAGCGTACAAAAGATTTTTGGTGAGAATTTTCCAGAAAAAAGGTTACTCGTGATGGAATTCAAGCGTGATAGTGTAATTTCTTTGGATATTTGGCTGGAAAACCACAATTGGCTATCGTTAGAGCACTCCAGCTTTTAAATGTGAATAAATCATTTGTGTCTCGTATCCGTATCGCTCGTTACCGTGATACTGGTAGCGTAGCCCGACGTCAAGGAAGTGGACCGAAGAAAACAGCAACATCAGCACAAATGTTTCGAAAAGTAAAGAAGCGTCTTGATAGAAACCCGCGTCGCAGTGGCCGAAAAATGGTTCGTGAGCTGAACAATTCGCAACAATCCATTCGGCAAATATTGAATAATGAGCTCGGGGTAAAGCCATTAAAATTCCAAAAAGTGCAAGAACTTACACCGCTACATAAAGAAAATAGACTCAAAAGAGCTCAAGAGTTGATTCGCTTGGCCGAAAGTGGTGAACTGCTGGATTTGGTTTTCTCCCATCTCCGATGAGAAAACATTTGTTGTCCAGCAGTTTGTAAGCAAACAAAATGATCGTGTTTACTTGCCAAAGAGGTCAGCTGACCGTGTCATCAGAATAAATGTCGAATATTATCGCGAAAATATTCTGGAGGGTGTATTAAAGCCTTGAGCACGCAAACATTTTGGCCGCAGACCTTGGACATACCAACAGGACTCAGCACCATCGCACTCAGCACGCGCCGCCCAAGAATGGTTACATAATGAGGTTCCTCGCTTCATTTCCAGCTCATAATTGCCACCAAAATCTCCGGATATCAATCCGTTGGACTATTGTGTCTTGGGACTAAAAAATACCAAAGTGTCGTTCACCCCAAACTTGAGATGGGTAACAGAAACCAATTAATCTAAACTTCAAATTTCGATCAGAACTAGATTGCTGAGTTATACAGCAACCAAACCGGCCGGCGCCTTTATCATGGCGCCCAACATGATAAAGGAGTAATTATTAAATCACACTTAGAGTCGGAGTTCATTAACAAAAATGGTACCCAAAGTGATAAGGAGGGTTAACAGCTTAAATTTTAGAAGTAAGTACAAGATAAGTCATTTATATACTCAACTTAATTCCAATTTGTTTTTATCTCAGTCAAAGGAATTTGTGAAAAAATGGCGCCCAATGTTATCAACAATCAATTCGTCAAATGTCAAAAGACATCCTAAAGATATGCTAGTGTTTTTATGCCAACGATTTGAAACAAGTGGCGCCCAATATTATCGTCGACAAAATATCCTTACAGAAGTAAGTAACATTGCTCAAATGACAGCCGTAATCTGTGAAACCCCACAGATCAAACCTCGACCACAACTGTATTGCTGAGTTATCCAGTGAAAAAATGGTTGAAACAAATGGCGCCCAATATAGACTCTAATCTATATTTGAGTCAACCTGAATTGAATTACTCGGCAGGAATAGAACGCATGGGGGTCAGAAAGTAAAGTGGCAAATATCTAATGATAGTGATTCCTTTGAGCCCAGAAAAAGCCCAAAATCTTACTTTTCTTTTCAACAGGACAAATGGCGCCCAATATGATTGGTAACCGTCAATGTGCAAGTCAATGTGCGTATCAAAAATGGCTCCCAACTTTTCATGAATGATTCAAGCGATTTGCCAAGCGCAATAAAAGTTCCTGGATTGAAAACAAGGAATTTAAAGCTTACAAATAAGAAAAAATATCTATAAATGGCGCCCAAAGGATTCAGTGCACCAAATATGCACTAGTAATACCAGCCTTACTTCCTTCATTGTCAGGATTTAACTGTTGGGTTATCGAGAAACAAAAAAAAAAAATTATGGAGGGTATAAAAAATTTTCTTTTGCAACGAGAAAATGGCGCCCAAATAAAAATGGGACATAATTAGTTTTTAACTTAAGAATATAAAGTAAAGGTGATGACACCTAAGCAGATTGGCATCAGGTCGTGACATATTTTTTTTGGCAAATTTTAAAGGGGTGTCAGAACCACACTAGAATCCCACCGTCGTTATCCTTTATAATTAGACATTAATATCATAGGCCATGATGCCAAAGTTCTCATCACCTCTACTCTATATTCGTGGGTAGAAAACTAATTATGGCCCATTTTTATTTTCTCCATTGCAGCAGAAACTATAAACTATTCTAATATAAATACACCAATATTATTAAGGTATTTAGTCTAACCTTGCCTACTCTCAGACATCTGTTGCAAATGGCGCCCAATATCATAAGCGCTTCTAGTGACTTCCAAACTGAATAAAAATCGTTTTAAGTGTGTCATTCCGTTTGTAACACCTCGAAATATACATTTTAGACCCCACAAAGTATATATTCTTGATCAGCATAAAATTCTATGTCGATTTAGCAATGTTCGTCCGTCTATCTGTCTGTCCGTCTGTGGAAATCACTCTAGCTTCCGAAAAAATGATGTAGGTTGATAAAATTTTACTCAAATATAACGGGATCCTCCCGATATTCGGTATATTGATAATTTTAGCGACATTATTTACCGGAATTGTTTTAAATTTGGTATTTGAAATTCGCAATGGATACTACAGCCTAAGACAGAAAATTATCTGTGCAGATCCACGTCTTCGTATAGCCCCCATATAACGGTACCTCCCTATATTCGATACTTTGATGATTTTAGCGACATTATTCACCGGAATTGTTTCAAATTTGGTATTTGAAGTTCGTAATAGATACTACAGCCTAGGACAGAAAACTGTCTGTGCAGGTCCAGGTCTTCGTATAGCCCCCATATAACGGTACCTCCCAATATTCGGTATTTTGATGATTTTAGCGATATTATTTACCGGAACTATTTCAAATTTGGTATTTGAATTTCGTAATGAATACTACAGCCTATGACAGAAAATTGTCTGTGCAGGTCCACGTCTTCGTGTAGCCCCCATATAACGGTACCTCCCGATATTCGGTATTTTGATGATTTTAGCTACATTATTCACCTATTTTTTTAAGTTCGCATTTTTACAGAATTTTTAACGAATTTTTTTTTATGAAAATTGTCAAATTCTTTCCAAATGGTGGAGGGTAGTCAAAGCTCGGCCCGGTCGAACTTTCATTTTTTTTACTTGTTTAAAATTATATTTTGACGCGTATTCCCATTTAATTGATCCATTCCATTTTGACCCATTTCCATTTGAAATTCATTTTAAGCTACATTTGACCTCAGCTCTCAGCAGCTATTTATATCATGACGCCTTATTAAAAATCCTTTAATCGAAAACTATTTTTATAGAATTTCTCTGCCAGGGGGTGAGTGAAGAAAACTATTAATTTTTGAAATTAAATGTCTGCCGATATATCTCGCTCTTCTCTTGTCCGGCTCTTTTGTGTCATTGCCATTGCATTCATCACGCTGCCATGCCATGTGTGAGCCTAACGAAAATGAAATGTACACTTGTAGGCAAAACAAATTAGTGAAGTTAAATAAATCATAACACAATGGATTGGATAGGATTGGATGGATGGATGGATGGCAGAATAACAAAAACCACAACTTTTTGTTTTCGGGAGACTTATTAATAGTTTGACAACTACTGTCCAACTGGCAAATGCAAGAGGCGGGGTATATGGGAAGGAGGTGTTTGTTTAGGTTTTTAGGTCAAAGTTCTTATAAATCAAATGGAATGCATGTG